ACTGGGAAGGATTACTGGCAATCACACGAACAGAGGAGCTTTTCAGGGGGGGATACAGCACTCAAACCTCCCTGAAATAAGACAGTGATTTTTAAAATTCCTTTGTAAAGCAATTTGGGTAACAATAGAGGCTTTATGTTATCAGCTAGAAAGTTCAAAAGCTATCGCAGATGTCTTTAATTGTTTTATTTTCTGGTGAAAGGAATATCCATTCAGTCATATACCACAGATGTGAAAAGACGTCATGGGGGATTTTCTATCTCATCTCACTCAAATATACAAACGATTGATTAGCTAGGAATGTGGAACTTACCATCATAACACCATGGTCTAGTTTTTAATGCCAAGCTAAATATCTATGTGAAAACATTCCCGTAAACCAGGTTCTGACAGCCATCTCTCCTGCCCTGTGTAACAAAACCCAGTGATGCATGGAGTGACAATGGCTCACGGGTTCAATAGGCTGTAATGGTTTGTCCAGTACGCGGAGGAAGCTATTACAGACTCTATTTTATGTGATCTCTCAGACCTGTACCAACATTATGACCTCTCTGCCCTTTCAACAAACCAGAGTCCCTGTGAATCAGAGCTTAGCTTTGAAATACACACCCCAATTAGACTGACATTTTATTGGTTTTAATGGTAAAAAATAATCTTCTAAGTAACATGAAATAAAATATACATATAAAAAACAAAACCTTAATTAAATTTAAAAAAATACCTTAATTATACACAGTTGTTAACAAGGCATGCATGTGAATAACTTTCTAGAGGTTTAGGCGTATACATTTTTAGTTGTATTGAACATTAAAGGGTTGTAACAGGGCAAGCTGCAGTCGAAGTCTGTGAGCTGAAGAACTGTCACAAGAACTTCTACATTTAGCAGATATTTAGACTTACTGAACCTCCGACTTCACATGGTGAAGATAACAAGTTAACGATCACCACACAGCATGCGTAATGTCCAGGATGCGTAGAATAATTTCCACCTCCCACAGCTTTAACATCGCTTCGTGCCCTCCATTCCTACCACATACCCTAAATGATGACCGTTGAGACACAGATGGCCAGCAGAGAACCTTTAGGGGTGTATGTGCAATTTTTCAAGCTGTTTCAGACCACAAAACGTATGAAGTATAACAGTGGATTGACAGCCGTATTAAGGTGTCCTAGCACCAGGTTTATTCACACAATTGAAACGTGTATTGGAAAAGACAGTGTCAAGTTTGTGGGTGTAACCTGATTAAGTCAAATGTATGAAGAGGATAGTATACTCAAACCATTTTAAAGCTTATTTGAAATCCGGTGCAACCCAATAGATGTTTCGGTGAAAAGAGTAAAAAGTTTTGATGGTATTGTTTGCCCTCATATAATCTCACAGCATCTAAATGATGATGTCAGGGCTTGGATAATGTGTTTCGTATTACAGCAGCATAACATACTCTCAGATTGTCCTTTAGAACTTTGGATTTTTCAGCCATTTTCAGGACGTAGCATCCTTGAATCCCCGAAACACAGATGTTAGCCACAGTTGTTTGGTAACTTGCATGATGTGATATATTGCTGGGGCAACTACGAAACCTCAGTTTCTATTACACTGTGCCCAACGACAAGCTACTGGAATTCAAAGCATTTTGCCAAGGCTTTGGAATTGGAGGGGGGGGGATCAGTGAGAAAGTTTATGCAACCATGAGAGCTAGAGGCCTGAGAAGGCTGAGGAATGTGGGGTAGAGGTGAGCAAAATGAACAGAGTTTGTTGAAAGCAAACTCCTAACTTCAGCTGCAGGAAGTATTGGTTTATGCTGAATTAGCTGGACATAATCACAGCTTTCTCGGTCAGTTGTTGATAGCCACACTACTTCCTTTTAGAGTTTTAACTTTATATTCACTGCATGGCACATGTGTAACTTAAGCTTGTTGGTCCGACTCATGCTCTTCCAAGTAGTGATTCTATGTGTCTTCAATGTGGCTCATAAGCTTTTACAGAATAAACCAAAGATGAGGTACACACACACATGAAATACCTGCTGGTCTTGACAGTTAAAAATCCGTTGGCCTCAACTGCACTGCCACTGTGCTCAAGTAGCTTTGAAGAACAAAGCCAGAGGGAAAAGAAAAGAGCAAGGGGAAAAAAAGCGGAAAGCAAATCTGGCAGAGGCCTTTGCTCAGGCTGTCTGTTTTCTTTTTTTTTCTTGTGGCCAAAGGGCAGGTTTTGCTCCTTTCTTACTCGGTAGGGTAAGTATATGGGATGGGTGTGGCAATAAAAATTCTTCAGATTCATTTTTTCACGTGCTTTGTTAGATACATTCACCCAAATGCTGTGGCCGATGATGTGCCCTTTTCTTTTTAGATGTTTAAGGTCAATGTAACCTGCTTTTTTAATGAGTAAGTAATTTTTTAGAATGTTGACAGTAACAACTGCGTAATCTCTTTGTTTCAAATTCGATATGAAGTTATCATCTGCATGCTGACAACTCCCAATTTGAAGCCATGACCCCAGTGAAAGTGGAACGGTTGCGCTATGCTGGTGTCTGCCTCAAATCACTGTTCGCTCAAGCATGGGCATCTCCTCAGCAGCAGCAGCGCAAATGATGTGCCATACTTTCCCAGTTGTTTCTTCTTGTTCACATTAGTTGTCTGCATGCCTTTGCTCGGCTGCTGTTCTCCTCTCTGCGGGCTCTTTAACCCATTTCTTCTCCTCATTCACTCTCATCCATGACATTCTCTGTTTAAACATCCATTTTTCTTCAACTCCCCTTAAACGGGTCGAAAGCATTTAACTTCCTCTTCCATCTTGTCTTTGATCTGACCACAAAAGGCTTTTCTTTTCTCATACGTGCCAAACTTTGGCATTTTCCTAAAAAATGATCTTGAGCCGTTGTCTTCACAAATAAATGTATCCTTTATTATAGCTGGACATCTGGGTGGATCGATATAGTTAAAATTATTTGACTCAGTATTTCAAATGTGTTGCTTAACACGGGACTTGGAGCTCTGTCTGAATTCACTCACCACTTTGACTACAGTCTTCTCATTTGCATTCGGGACATACTGGTGAGGGCTGAAGTTGCCATGGGACTCTTGGCTTTACAAAACTTTTGGAAGCTGCCTATTTTCTTTGCCTGGATACCCTTCTTATTACATGCCTCAAGCTAAGGAGACAGAGCTGTAATGATGACTGATGACAGGATAGGATCCCAGGATACATATGCTATGCAGGGAATCTGAGGCAAAGCAAGGCCAGAAAATAAATGAACTGAGCTCCTCTTCCCAAGGTACATTTTTGGGTTGTGTGTCTGTCATTTGAGACATATTCCTTGTGGAAATCTTATTACCTTGGCTAAAAAAAGTTTCTCAGATTTCAGTGAGTGAACGAAAGTGTTAAGAAGACGGTCTATGCAAACTCTGTAAAATGTGTTTTTATGGTCTGAGACTTCTTATCTGAGACACCAGAGACTTCAAAGTGGTTTTTACATTCAGACTTACAATAGACAACGCCCCTATCTGGTAATGATACTGACCCATACCATGATTCACTTTTTATTTGTTCCAGATAATAGTAAAACCATATATAGCCACACATTTCCATTGTAGTTATGAAGGTTACTCGAATGGCTGCTACAGGGGTTGTCAGGGCTTAGATTGTGTTGGAAATATTTCTGTTATTATTTTTTCCTTCATGGCCGTTGCTAGTTGACATAATGTGCAGTGCTGCACTGATAGTGTTTTGTTATGGCAGTCTTGGTGGCTCCTTTGTTATCAATTGAGAGCCTTGCATTTTGGTTTTGTTCCTAGTGACAATATTTAGAAATATACATGTCAAAGGGAGAAAAACACCAGCATCTAACAGTATACCCTCAATCACCATGCTCACTGTTTGTGTTGATTGTTTTTTGCTTTAAGTAAAACGGCTTAAAACGAATATATATATATATATAGAATGGGATTCTGTTTTTCGTGTGCTTTGCTTCTGTTATTTTATCAGGCACAGCAATTCTCTCAGCATGCTCTGTTTTGATCCTAAATTAAAAGGAGAGCCCAGTATCTTAAAGTAGATTATTTGTTGGATTAGCAGAAGTAAACAGCTAATATCAAAAACCAGCAGCAAAAAAAAACTGTCATCAGTTTTCTTTATGCTGTCATAAAGAATATGGAGGGGGAACACTCATCACCACATGAGTAATAAGAAAGATTTAGTTGAATAGAAATTTGGAAATTTGCTTCCAGCCTCTTCAACTTTAGGTTATCAGTTGAAATGATGTGTGACTGGAGCCGTATGTGATGTATCACCTTCATCAGTTTGGAACACACTGAAGCAGCACACACACTAGTGGACGCATTCCTCCTAGCCTGCACTTGTGTATACCCACTGAGCACCTGGTGAGGGCTTGTAAGAGGAGTCTGACAGAAATGAAAAGCACTAAAGCAAACCAAATTCGCCAATGCGAGCCTCGCTGTTAGCTTTTCCTCAGAAAGATCAACAAGTGACTTTCACATGTTTCAAGTGGCGGCCATTCAAACATCTAACCTGGTGATTGAGTGCAACAGAAGATAATTGATGTATTACATCAGCCAGGCCCGTGTCTGCTCGTTGCCGTGTCATGCAGATCTCAATATTTCTTTCAGTTTGCAGGATCTACTCATTCACCACTCTATTAGGCCATTTTCATCCTGAGCTTCTCACATATGTGTTTGAAAGGTCTTTTGTTTGCTCAGGTGAAGGTTACAGCCCCCCCGCATGGCGGCCAAATGTAAACAGGAGAGCGCTGACTGGTTGTTGTTAATGTAACACCTGACAGGTTTCAGGAAAAGGCCCTTCAAGCCGTGCAGCTGCCTGGTCAGGGCGAGCTACAGTTACACTTTCTCCGACCAGTTTCTGAGATCATTTAAAGTGCAGGCTGTGATGTGAGGTTCTGACCATGTGATGTTAATAAAAATTGACACCTCAAACGTGCAGACAACAGTTCATTGTGTGTTTTGTTTTGTTTTTTGTCTCTTAGGTGTAATTCGAACACAAGAGCTGCTGGATCATGAGACGACGCCCCACTACTGGTTAACCGTCTATGCTATGGATCGTGGCGTGGTTCCCCTTTCGGTTTTCGTCGAGGTCTTCATTGAAGTGCAGGACGTCAACGACAATGCGCCTCAAACATCCGAACCCGTTTACTATCCGTCCGTCGTAGAGAATTCTCCAAAAGACGTGTCAATCATCCAGATAAATGCAGTCGATCCTGATGCCAAATCCAGTGATAAACTCACCTACAAGATCACCAGCGGTAATCCTCAGGGCTTCTTCGCCATAAATGGAAAGACAGGTAAGACTGCCGTTAGCTGGAGCAAAACTTATGTCGAGATCATGTTGCATTTATTTGGCCGAAAATCCTGCTACTATGTCATGAGCTTATGTTGTAATCTGGGACAAGCGGTAATGGGATCTGTCCGCTTGTTGTGAGAGGAGAAATCAGATCATGAGGTAAAGCTATGAAAGGCAGACTTGTTCCCAGTATAGTGCGTCTACGTCCAAATGATTACGAATGAACATTTACACCGTTTTACTCAGCCAATGTTATATTTTGTGGTTTTTCATGTCCGCAGTGATTAATTTCAGATGTCCTGATGCCTGAAATGCACAGTTAGGATGAACAGGAAATTAGCCTGAGATGCCAAATACAGTATATAACCCTCATCTGAGCACACAAGCTGCACTACAAGTCAGAAATATCTTCTTTTACGTAGTGGTGCTATGCTAGCGAGGTGCAAAAGTTCTGTGAGGCTGCCGCTTCATTTCTTTTTAACAGGAAGGTTCAGTCTGAACACTGTGTTTGCACCCAGAACAGGAGTGGGTCGGGCCTATGGGGGTTTTTGCACTCTGACACTCTTAAGTGTGTTCTCATATGATTTTCTGGAAGTGGTGTGATGATTAATATTTCATTGGGTTCTTTTAAAGTTGCCGGAACAGTCTATGTTTAGCGGTGCAATAGAAAAAAAGTGATAGGTGCAAAGAGAAGCTCCACTTCAGACTGAGTGTTCCTTCAGATTTACAGATTTGTCGTGTTTGTATTCTTCCTGAGAGAACTTGCTCTGCCTTTGCTCAGAGCTGATGATACAATTACAAAACTGCATTAAGAAAATAAAGTTTTTGTAAATTCTATCCGGACTGATCCATTGCTGAAGGGTGAAAGCCCATCTCAGGCCCTTGTGTCTGTTAGTTTTTCTTTCTGGGCCAGTTCTCACATAGGTCGGTTATTGCTTTAGTTCAGCTGATCAGTAAAGCCAAGGCGGAAGGGGCAGTGCAGCAGTTGCTCCAGTTTGTCCTCATTTACGTGTGTGGTCTTGTTTCCTAAGGTAGTCACATCAACAAACTGGAGTTATTTTTGTTGGAACGGGCAATGGGAATTTTCCGACCAAATAAGGATTGAGCATGCAAGCTGCCCACCAAACAAGCCCCGCAGTAATGCTGCGCTCTCCTTAACGGACAGGCAGAAAAATGAGTGACAGAGATAAAGGAGAACTTTTCGGTATGCACATATGGTTTGTGTTTTGTCTGCGTGCACGAAAGGATCAACTTACACATGCTGATAAGAAGTGTGAGATGCTGAAAAGGGAAAGGACTTGGAAATGGAATATTTCTTTTAACAAAGATCTTATAAATAACACATTCTTGACAAACCAGGCACATTTTAAGCAGTGGGGAAAACTTGTTTAAAGTTATTTCTGTCCTTAATGTCCTCTGGTTTTTCTCTTTCTACAGTTACACAATAAGACCACATTTGGAAACTAAAGCAACTGACCTTAAACTCCTTGGTGGCTTGTTGATAGCTGATTTTCATAAATTGCCTCATAAAAATTAAAGTGCCTTTCTTTGTTAGCAGTTAGTTGGCAAGAGTCTTTGTGTTTCCCATTGGCAAAAACCAAAGTTCTCATGTGTGATTTTCCTGCTGTCAGAGAAGCTTAGTGATGAAATGGAAAAAGATAAAACAGAAGCAGGTTTAGAGTCATACATGCATATGAAAGCATGCTTAAACTTTTATCAGTGGGGCACCAAATCTGCTGGTGTCAGGTTCAACAAAGATTGTTTTAGACAAAGAAAATGTCATTGAACCATTACTGTGAGGCTTTGATTTTGTATGCCAGACTGTAATATTAATGGAGGTAGAGAGGTTGGTTTGAAAGTAAAGACGACACCCTGCAAAGAATGTCATTCAAAAACAAAGATATTTATTTGAAACCAGGCAATGGGGACAGTTTAAAAATGAAGAAAAATCTGATGTATGAAGTTGGACTCCAAATAGCACAGCATCTCTCCACACTGCCTACTCAACATGACATTCTTGCTGAATATTAGATATTTTCAAAAATGCCTAATTTCGCAGTACATGGGCTTCTGTAATTATATGTTTCAAAATTACATTGGAGGCATGGACCCTGTCTCGGAAAAGCTTCTATGATCCACAAATGGACGTTGAAAAAAGGTAAAATGTGTTAAAGCCTGTGTTTTTGTGCGGGTTGTAGGACTCCGTTGGCATGCGTCTAAGTTGCTGGGTCAAGGGCAGCCACCTTCAGCTGGCTTCTCCTCTGCCTCAGACACGTACAGCGTGAGGCTTCATTTGACACCTTGGGTGGTGTTGATTGCCCTTTCTCACAGACTCCCACTGCTTCAGTAAAGCAAGGGTCAGGGATTACTTTATTTCTGCCAAGTAAATAGGGCCTGCTGTATTGGATGCCCCCATCTTTATTTTGTCAGGTAAGTGTAAGACTAGTTCCTGTGTTCAGTGGGTACTGCTGCAGCCTCAAAGTCTGAAAGCCCTGGCTTGATATAACCTCACTTTAGAAGGGACTTCGATAAGTAGAGAGAGACCAGCCGTGGCTTTAAAAGTGGAAGACTTTTTTTCTGGTCTGCATCTGAATTGTGTCTCTAAAACACTGGGAGACAGTTGAATTTCAACAAAACTATTCAAGTCTAAAAGATGAAGCAGCGCTTAACTGTCTCGGGGTTCAGAGCTCATTCCCTCAACAGACACACAGCAGCGCAGTTGTTCCAGATCTCTTCGCCTTTGACTTGATAGAAGTGAACTGAAGCTCTTGCATAGATGCTCACAGGCTTTTGTCAGCAGATCACCACGGGATCTGAGGCAGACATGTTCGTGTACGTGCTCCGCTTGTGTCGGAAGAATAATGTGTTTATTACTGTGAGTACATTTAGAACAACAATGTTTTGTTCGCGCACACAGCAGTCAGTCCTCTACCCCTCCAGTTTGATTCTCTTCCGTGTTAAAAGATGTCAGCACTTTGAGCCAGTGTATCGGTGCTTGTTGACACAAGTTGCCCACCTTCTCTGTGGGAGATTGAGCAGTGTTCATTGCCTGCTGAATCACTCCCTGTCTCCTTTGAAAAGCTTCTGCTGGGCTCCGGACTTTGACCAGAGGATTGATGCCAGAACACGCATGTGTTAGGAAAGAGCAACCAAGCAGAACAAGAAGACAGAACACAGACACTTACTCACACAGACGCACACCACCACACAGGAAGTTTTCCATACCTAAACCAAGGAGAGAAAGCTTGAGCAAAGAGTTTTACGATAGACATCTTATCTTACAGGGCATACAAAACCTCACTTTCTGTTGTAACTGTACTGTCTTTCTCTGTGTAGTATTAGTGCTTTCTATTGCTTCTCTAATCATCCCAGTGTTGTTTACTGACTTTCTGAACCAGATTAGCATTGGTTTATGATGATATGAAATGTGAGATTTATGGTTGAGCTGCTGAAGCTTGTGTTAAACTCCAGCTCATAATAACAGACCCCTCCATGTATTTTCCACTGGTACAGTCACAGTGTAACTCATTAAATGTGGAAGTCCAAACATGAGTCCCCCTCTTTTATTGGAATTTTTTATTCGAGTTGTTGGACTCAAATAAAGAAATGTTCATCCAGGTGAATTCTGGCAATTGTTTTGTACCTTTCCAACTCACCCCTTTTTGTTAGCCCAAGGGCAGCTGCCCATTGTCACCAGCATGAAAGGGAATACTGTCGGTAATGCTTTGCCAGAGTTGAATACCTTGAACAGGTTTTATGTGCTTTTGTCATCCTGGGGCTGAATGAACAGGAAAGGGAAACAGCCAATGGGATTTGCAGCTGTAAAACATCCACTTTTTGCATGCCCCCCTATCACTTTTCTGCTTAGGAGGGAAAACACACACACACTGGTGTTATCAGCAGTTTAGCAAAGCCCCAACCACTATCAAGGGAAGCGAGAGAGGAAATGAATAGTCCCAACAACTTCCTGGTGTTTCCGGTGATTTGAGAGGAAACAATGGTCACAGCTCTTAAAAGAGATAATGACAAGAAAATGTGTGGATACAAAAGCCCACTGTTTTCCATTTAAGCTCAAAAAGAGAGAATCATGGTTAGGTTAACTACTTCTGCTGAAAACATTTGTGGAATGTTATTTTTTTTGGTCTTTTTTTGTAGAATTAAGTGAATTTACAAAATAATACATGACCAATACGTGGTCGACATGATCAAATACTAAATCTGGTCCTTGCTGGTCAAGAGGTCATGAGACATGAGAATGGATCATTTGCACCTCTCATATATTTTGACAGTGTTGTTAAAGAAATTAAACCTGTAAATGGCGCACTTCACAAACCTTCCACTTTTACTCTTAATACACTAATGTGGGCTCTTTGAAGTTCTTACCATTTTTTTGTCCCACCTGGCTTTTTTTCGAAGCGGTTTTTGATCGTCGTTTTTATCGCAAATCTCCCTTTGCACATTCCTGTCTTTGTTAAGCGTTTAACCATTTAACTTCACAAAGAGCCACTACCCATCTCACACTCCTATTTTAAAGTGACTTAGTGTATTTGTGTATGTTGCATACCTGAACCTGGGTCTTAGATATGATTTTACCAAATCCCCAATTTATTTAGAACTCAGGGCATCCACTTTCATGAATACTTGAGAAACCTGAATCCCTCCTATTTCCAACTCCTCCATGGTGTGGCTGTCTTTTCAGCTTACAAATAGGCCATGCAGCTGTGAGGTGCTGAGACATTTCAATCCTAATGTAAACAGTGCTTCCCCCTTAATGCCTTTTATTCATTTTACAAGACCCTCATGGATGTATGAACGTGTTTGCCCTAGCTTATGTAGCCTCTCCTGGTTCCATTTGTAAAATGTTGTATCTCTGGAGTGGGAATTTGCCTGACTACACAGACTTTTAAATGTCATGTCAATGCCAATTCCCCTCTCAATAAAGGAGAACTGTCAGCGTGTCTCCTTCAGCTACATTTTGGAGACTTGATTATTAAAAAGGGAGAAACTGTTCTTTCTTTGAAGCTCTGGCCCTTTCTAAACTTGTACAGTTTGGATCCGCATCACTTTTTTTTTTATCACTGTACCACAGTTTGCATTTCAGAGTATTAATGATATGGATATCATCTTTGCAGTGCTGTTTTGGCTGAAGCCGTGCACATATAATTATTGGTATCACTGGTGGGACTGATGGCGTCAGCAGTAGCTTCAGACTTTGAGGTCTCTTTACCTTTGATATGTTCAGCCCCGGCAAACACATGGAGCGTGGTGGACCGTCTTGTGTCACAGCTAAATGTGCGCCACATAAATATGTGTGTCACTCTCCCGATTGCTAATCAAGGCAACAGTGCCCCAGAATAAACCCCACCAACAATGTCCTGGACTCCAGAATTCCCTCCAGGCTCCCGTTTTAAAGCCGTGGTCGTAGCGCTGAGGGACATGGTTGAGAGTGCCACTGTTGGTTTGCTGTTGTTTTACTCCCCCTCTCAAAACAGCATGGCTGTAATTACTGTCGGCCTAACTCAGCCCACGCCTGTGGAAGAATTGTGTGTGTATGTTTGTGCATGTGTGTGTTCTTTTTTGGTCAGCTTTGGCTCACAAACCTGTTATTTCGTAGTTCCTTAAAGTTCGGGTCCTGACAGAGAGGCATGCGCCTTTATTGACTTGAAGACCTATTTTGGAAATAAGTTGTCATAAATTATTTTCTAGCGGTGATGTCAGTGCCTGTATATTAGAGTGAGTGGTAGGTTTTGTGGTCAGAGACTCAGAAGTGGGCTGGTAACGCATCAAACAAAAGTAGAAAACAAGTAAACAAAACCATTTTAAGACAAACATTAAATATTTGATAGTTTCTCCAGTCAGGTTTTAAAAGAAGGGTGGCAGTCGTGGTTGAAGAAGGTTGTAAAACGCTTCAAAGTTGAATTCATTGGTTAAATAATCAGCAGGTAAATCATTTGCTGCATTCAGTTTGAAACCTTGTGCGATGCAAACTCTTCAAATGGGATTTTAGATTTATAAGATGTTAATCAGAGAATGTTTATGAAAGCTGAATAATAAAGACGTTTTGCTTATCGCATGTATTTGGCTTCTCTAAAAATTGTGTAGGGATTTCCCTGTATGTTTTAAAGCACCTGTTAACTGCATGAATTTGAGACGATCTTTGTTGGTGAATCAAAACCCCTCTTTAGAAGACAGTAAATACACTTGGAGTAAATCCACTAATCACTGTTGCCTTTTTTAACACTTCATAGTCACTTTGTAACTGGAAATTTTAACATGGGCTGACTAAGTCTTTGTCGTGTGCACAGTATCCAGCTCATACCTTAAACACACTTTCTATTCTTGCATACAGCTCAAAGCAGAAAACAGAACATGCTATCCAGAGTCATGAACTCTGCTTTTACACTGAGGTTTAGAGTATGTGTGAGAAGTGGGAGCACTCCACATTCTTCAAAATAGAAGCAAACTTATTTTTCCACTGTGGGTTTGGGAGCAATGCAAGTCATTTTGTTAGTTAGTTGGTTTGGCTGACGGTGTGCCTGCTGCCGAACAAAGGCACAGCATGGAGATGGTGGCTTTGTGATTACAAACAGTGATTTGATACTAGTTGATTCACGGTGGAACAATAAATCTGGATCATGGACTAGGTTTTTGTTAATGCTGTCATCTGTATTCTGCTGAACAATTCATACCCAGAGAAGAGCCGTCTTACACAGCACACAGGGGAGCTTAAAAACATAATCATCCATCATCTCTGGCCCTACCGAAGCACATGAATAATTGGTCAGTGTGGCCTGTTCTGATGCGGCACAGCCGAACCATTTGTTTTGATGATAATTCTAGCTCATCTAACCCATGCTGATTTTGGAGACGGCACGCAGCACAGCAAAGAGAAATACGTGCAGGAAGCAAAACTCGCAGACAGGAGTGGTGCTGTCCCCTCAGTGGTGGGGGGATGACTGTTAGTGCTATATGTGAGTAATGGTAAAGCAGCCGTCAAGTTTTGTCATTCAAAATTGCACTTTGAATGAAAACAACTTAAAATGTGAACTGGTTGTGTCCCTCATTGTGAAGTTGAGCTAAAACCTCTGGGCTGCGTCTTTTGGGATTTGAATTTGCCATAACAAATATGCGTGGACCCACATGTTTGCACCTTCCAATGAAAATGAAATGCAGCCTACAAAGAAGAAGGAGCCAAAGCGCCTCACTCATATTCCTGAATCTCAGTGCCGGGGACAGCTATTTCTGTGGACCTGCAAGTTGTGGCCTGCTATTCCTGTTGCAGCCATATGTGCCATTGATGGGTTTGGGTTTCCGAAATCCTTTGCTGTATTCTAATCAGATGCAGTGTGGCAAGGAGAGCGCTCTGGTGCGGTCAGGGTTGGCATGTCTACTCTGCACTCAGTGTCTGCAAAGTTACAATTAGGCTGGGAGTGAGAGCAGAAGGCTGCCTATAATGTAGAAAATGTAGCAGTCCCCTTCCCCCACCGCTCCACTCTGCCCTTGTTTGTGCGTTTGAGGCAAAATTACATTAGTTTGGAACTCAAGACTCCAGCGTGTTTTATTTTTACTTTTGTCAAAGGTCTCTGTGTGATTGATGTCACACGGCCTCAGTCAAGCCACTTAAGGAGGATGATAAGAGTTTAAAAGGACTCCTAAAAGACTTCTAACACAACATGTGTTCTGAACTATGTCTTTGTTAGAAAAAGTGCTTAGGCCTAAGGCCTTGCTGCCCCTCTATTTATTCAGCTTGCGGAGACACTAAAAGTAGGGTGTCAAGGCTACAGTGCTGTTTGGGTGCTATTTGCAGATCTTTGAGATATTTCACATATCAGCCAGTATAGGGGGGTGTCTGGCAATGTAAAGCTGTTCACTCATGGGTGACTGATGAGATAACCAGAAGGGTTCAGATTATGTCACCCAGCAGTGAGCAGTGGCATTTTTCTTTTGGCTCCACGTTGTATCATATCAGTGTTTGATGGTTCTTCACTCGGGAGCTGATGTTCATGACATTTTTCGAGGATCCTTCACTCCCCTGTGATTATTTTTAACTCTGTGGATATTTTTTTCATGCTAAACATGTTTGCTTTTCATATGACATAGGTTACAGAAATGGACCCTGCTTGCTTACATGTTCATACCTAGTTCATACTCACCTTATCAAATACAATTAAAACAACACACAAAAGAAAAAATAGACTGTAATAGGCTAATTCTTTATTTTTTTATTTGCTTTGTCTTTAACAGGTCTGGTTTCAACCACTTCAAGGAAACTGGACAGGGAGCAACAGGATGAGCACATTCTGGAGGTAATCACTGTTTTTATAGATTTTTATTATTATTTTTAACTGTTAAAGCAATTCTAGTCCTGTTTTATTAATGTGAAAATAATTAAGCAATGTGGTAGCATGGAATTTGTTTCAAAAGGTCACCGCATTTATTTCTTCAGTAAAAAGAGGAGGCTGGGGATTTTCCATCTCTGAGGCTTGGCATTTCCAGTCTCCTCTGGCTGTTTGCCACTTGTTGCCAACCGAAAAGTTTTCATGTATATGCAAGAAGGTCTGATCGGAGGAAATTTTTTTGTGCTGATTTCCGGATGGGGTAGAGGGGTGAGGTGTGCGAGAGATCCTGGTGACTGTTTCTTTGTTCTTTCCCAGTGTTCCATCCCGTGGATGGAGCAGGCTCAGACAGGAAACTGCTGTCAAACCAATGGGCCAATGTCTAAACTTGTGGGATTTAATTGAGCTCAGCGCTGTGCTTCCCTCCCTCTTTCACACCACAGAACTGAGCCTTATATGAGCTGTTTTAATTGTGTTTCCGGGGGGGCTGACGTGGAGCAGATTGATCGCCTTTTAATTATTGTTAGAAGTTACACAATACAGTGATCTCTGGGTGACAGTGCTGTCGCATCTGTTGCGAGAGCAGCGTCATATTTCATACTTGCTCGTACATTTCCCTGAACTAATCACATCACTGGACTGAGGGGTAAATGATAGGGATAAAAGTGGAGAATATGGGAGTTCTGCTCCATTCTGTGCGACTGAAAAATGGTTGTATATTTGGGGCTCTGCAAAATTGGATACCAGGGTTAAAAAAACGCCCAAAAAACAAATCTCCTAGCTCTACAAGTTTGATGAAGCCCGTAAACTGTTTCTTCCTTGTGGGTTAAAGCTGTTTATAATGCTTGAGTTGATTTCTTATGCAAGTTTATAACCAGCTTTAATCGGATTCTTTGATTTAAAGCGCAATGAACAAAAACCTTTGAGAAATAAGGCAAGTTAAATGCCTCTTAAGTGTTTTATTGAATGCTGCACATCCCTTTTTAATTTAAATATTTAAAGCTGGAGGGATTGTTTAAAGTTGAAAGATAGGAAGTGGGTTACTATACATAGTCTTTAAAGTTCTTTGAAAGTATGGAAACTAATGAAGTTAGTGCCTGCTGGTCACAAGTTATTGGAAATTCAACAGGAAGCTCTTTATGGAGCCGCACATTCATGGAGCGGCACAGACCTTTAGACCTTATAGTTTAACAATTGGACTCTATGGAAACGTGCACTATTTTGTTTATTTTATTTATTTAATTTAGTTTAGAATAGCTTGTAGGAGAAGAGGCTTAACATGTGGGGCCATGTGGAACATGTGGAGCAATTAGGGTGGGGGCTGTGTCAGCATTGTTTGCACCAAATGCCAAGAAGAGGTGGAGGGAGCACAGGGGGCCTTCAAGCTTTTATGATGAGACTGATGGGGGTTGGTGGTTGTCGTGTGTCTGTGTGTGAAACAGAGAGAGCTAAAAGCAGTGGGGGAATTTGAGAAAAGGCAAAGCTGTTCTTGTTGGTCTCAGTGTGGGCTCTAGCGGCAGGATCAGAGGCCTTCATCCTCGGAAGGAGGGGGTGGGTAAATAGCAAAAATGGGACATGCCAGGGCATGCTTAGCACTCAGGCCTGGGACTGGAGGGAACACGCTGTAATGCTAACGCAGAGGTGAATGGACTGTTCACATCTGTTGTCGGGAGCCTGAGCCAGCATGCCGTCTGGCCCATTTTACAGACATTTACTCTTATCCGGACCACTGGTTATGATTAATACACAAAAGGTTAAAAGAAAAAAACTTATCGGAAAAAAAGCTGCTTCTTTCCCGTCTTGGCACAGCTGGATAATCACTGCATGAGGCAGGTGTGACTGTTAGATCATTAGAAGGGTCCGGATTCTATTAACCCATCCAACATGCACGTGAGCATCATTCCAGCTTTAATGACTGACTAAATAATAAAGACGACCCTTTAAAAAATGAAGCCGACATTTAAAAGCCTTTTTTTCCCGTGCACATGTAATGAGGTGATCCCATGTTGCCATGCAAACAATGTCCCAGGTGCCTTTTTATTTGGGAATCACAACACCCAAAGAAGCTCTTACCAGGTTATAAGGACATGAAGCTTTACCGTTTGTATACAGCTGCTGTGAACCAACGGTTCCTCTCAGAATAACACAAGATCTCTTCCGTTTCCATTTTTTCAGTCGCCGCCTGTGGAAATACTGTGCGCAGATTATTTGAATTACAACTGATCCTAGTAATACATCATTTATATTTAGTCATTCATATATCAGATACAGTCGTAGAATCTGTCAAAAATCAGAGCGTAACGAGACGCCTCTGTCTCACAGTTTGCTGTACCGAGCAATGACAAAGGCCCACTGATTTAGCAACTCCATCTTTTGTGGAGCCTGACATCTTTTGAAATAGCGGTTTTCGATCAAAATGTTTCAAAGACATTCACTTGGTGTTGAATAGCCGGGCAGCTTCGGCATGCATGCACCGGTAACACGGACAGCTGTTCGGATGAGCTATGGAGCCAGGGCATTTACTTAGTTGAATGAACATGACCCCAGGAAAAAAACCTTTCCGTAGCCTTTATGGATCAGCAAATATAAGGTGCTCAGACAGCCAGACAACAGGTCTGTTTTCTTTGAAGTTTTCTTTTTTAAATAGAATTTGCAATTAAACAGGACAGGAAAAGCACCAACATGTTTAATGATTTCTTCAGTCTCAGACATTCAGTCTCAGGTTTCTTGTCCCTCTGACAGTTCTGTTCATGTGAATTGCACAAAAGCACAGACAGCTGCAGACTCTGTGAAAAGAAAAAAAAATACACACATTACTTCAGTATTTGGATGTATAGTACCAAATGGTGCACGCCTGTCCTCCGACTGTTGGCCGTTTTTACTGCAGCACTTAGCATGTGGTTTTCAGAGACTGTGACATTTGTTCTACCCTTCTATTGTGATTTGCAGTTCGAAGCAATGCTCACATTCCTGCCAGCGCTTGGAAACATAATCCTTGATCCCATTTTTGTGGGACTCACATTTGTTTGTTTAGGTCAGCCTGTTTCTACTTCTTTTTGAGCATCACAGACTGAACTCACTGCCTAAAGTCACACTGATGTGTTAAATCATGGCAATTAAAAAAGCAGCCACAGCGTGCCTTAATAGGGCATTACCCGAAGGCCCCGTTAATGATGCAGTTGTTTGATACTGTTTTTCATGCCGAGGACTTTGGAGGTTACAGAAAAGGCCCTGGCCTTTGGCCTATTTTTATTGACAGTTTAAAGTCTGCAGCAGAGTCAGCGCAGCAGTTGCTCTCAGACTGACTATAAGCTCTGGCTACACCAGATTCTAAGACGATCACTACCCGTTTCCTACAATATTGACGATTCAATGAAAAAATTCTCATTTGAGATTAAATGCATAATCTATTTATACATTTTTTACTCTGTCGTAAACTGTAACAGTATCATTGTGCTTAGGCATGAGTATGGCATGCGGATTAGTTTGATGTCTGATTCAATTGATTTACCCCCGTTACTGCAAATATCTACATTTTCGTCCATAAAAACGCAGCTAGATTTGTGCTCATTCCTTTTTTTCTTTGTTCTTTAAAAGTATCTTAGTGTCCCTTCTATCCACTAATCTCCTGCATTAGTAAATGAGTAGCATTGCAAATATCAGACCAGATGTTAATGTCGTTGACTCTCTCTTAAAATGCATAAACGTCAACAGCTGGAAAACAAGCATGGCATCCTGACCTTTCTGATAGTTTTAGTGGACTTATCAACTGACTTCAGCCTGATATCAAACCAGCTGCTACTGTAATGCTTTTTAAAAAGGCTCCTGGCAGCAATGCAGCCACCCTCTAGGGGAGATGCTGGTAATTTTAGCTCCCAGTCAACTTGGTGAGAAAGACGTAGATTAAAAGGATGATGGAAGGGGAGAGAAAGCATCCTTTTTGCCTCCTTTGTGTTATTAATTCTAGGCTTTCGATTGATGGATTCCTAGCACAGAGAATCTTGATCTTAACAAATTCCAGGGATAGTTGTACATTGTATTCAATCAGAATTTTGACATTATTCTTTGTGTCTGCTTCTAAAGCTGAGATTGTAAAAGGGAACAATGAGGCTTTGTGAACTGATGAGAGCTTGTGGATGTGATTTAAAGTTGGCTAAATCAGAAAAATATTTCCAGACTTGTTTCAGTCAATACATTTTGTTGTATAAAGACTTCTATTCCTCTCTCCCCAGATCACCATTACAGACCAGGGCGTTCCCCCTAAATCCACCACCGTCCGCGTCATCGTCCAGGTTCTTGATGAAAACGACAACAGACCATTGTTCTTAGAAAAGATCTACAAGATCCAGCTCCCCGAACGGGAGAAGCCAGAGAAAGAGAGAGCCATGAAGAGAGACCCAGTCTACCGGGTAATAGCATCAGACCGCGACGAGGGGCCGAACGCCGAGATCTCCTATAGCATCGAGGAGGGAGACGAGCATGGCAAGTTTTTTATCGAGCCCAAGACAGGCCTGGTGTCATCCAAGAAGTTCTCCTCTGCTGGGGAATATGACATTCTCACAGTGAGTATCTCATTTCAGGGCTTCACGCTGCCTCGTGTCTGGGAGCCTCTCAGCAAGCATTACATTTTTACAGCTGATGTTCATTTATTACCTTACTGTCTTTTTCCCCTCTTCCTCTGAAGTCTACCAGCCCATTTCATTCCTCCGGCCTCCATTTTTTTATAGATTTTTATTTTTGAAATGCAGTGAAAGTGCCAGAGAAATCCATTAAGTAGTCCACAGGCATGGGATGTAAGTGTAGGCGAACCATTTACAGGTGCATCCACTTCAGGTGTTTGGTAGTTTGTTCCTTTCACCAGTCAGAAAATTTAGTTAGAACAAAGACATCATGAGGACATATGTTTCCTCTTTGACTGTGGTTGTGCTGCTGTGGGGCATTGGTTACTGCGAGCCTCAGTCAGCTTTTGATGTGACATTACCCTTAGACAATGTGACAGGCATTTGTTTCCCATAGGATAACAAGGAAATGAGTGTGTAAGAGCTGCGCATAGTATCTATTAATCTTTTTAAACTTAAGCTTACTTTTCAGAGTCGACTGTCAGATGTGTTTGATCCAGTTCATTGGCACACTATGACCATTTAAAAAAATTTTTTTTTTCTTCATATTTAAACCCTAGCATATATTCTGTTATTAGATGACAGACTTTATCATAGTTTAGCATAGTTTACTGAGTTCTTCACTGTTCTGTTACACAGAACCTGTTTTGTTATTCAAAGTATATAGATGTAGTAGTTTTAAAGTTGACCTGTAAAGGATTTCAGAGCCTCGCAGCAGTTCTTCAGTAATAACAGAGCTGCGCACCTCTCTCCAACACAGATTAAAGCTGTGGACAATGGACGCCCTCAGAGATCCTCCACCTGCCGTCTACACATTGAGTGGATTCCTAAACCCGAAGTGCCAGCCGACGCAGCTCCCCTGCGTTTTGAGGAGTCTCCCTTTACCTTTTCAGTCATGGAAAGCGATCCAGTGGCGCACATGGTGGGCGTAGTGGCCACTGAGTCCTCTGATGTTCCAATGTGGTTTGAAATCACAGGTACAGTCTTTTTTTCATGATTATTCTTCTTGTACACTAGCATGCCTTTAAGTGCTTTGTGTTTAAGTACTGCTTTGTAGGTATAAACATTCCTGAAAACTAACATAGTGAATGTGTGTGTATAATATTCTTGGCATTTGGACAATACTGAAAGTCAGCGTCAAAAATTCGATTAACTACAGAAATTACAAGTTTCTGATCAACAGTTATCAGTAGTTATTATAGTTAATCAGCTGCAGCCAATGTAATTACTGCTAGCGTTAGCTTATTCTAAAGTTTGCTGCTTTTCTTCACGTTAAATGCATTTTCACCACTCTGTTTAAAGTATTCATATTTGGAGTATAATCATAATGTTATGTTTGTGGAGGGCAGGTTATGGTTATTCCAAGAACAATTTAAAAGCATCAACTGTTGTCATAACAACAGATTCAGAGACATTTTTTAAATGCAAAAAGGCAGGGAGAAAATGATTTGCTCCCAACAGGAGAATTTGAGTTCCCCCAGATGTTGATATCTGTGGAGGTGCAAAAAAAGGGAGGCATAGAGTTTATCTAAATTTAGTGCAGATATTTATCCATCCAACAGGAAGGCACATTACGGTCCTGCTCTACAATATTAGACCTACTAAAACAGAAATGTTTAGGGAGACCATTGGCACACTCTTCAGAATGTTGGCTATGGTAATCGTTCCTGTTTAAAGCAAATTGTGAAAAATAACAACAATTAACTTCTGTAAGATCACCTCCACTCACGACTGTTGGATGATTTCACTGCCTTTTCGTAACCGTTTTATTTCATATGGATCATTTCAGTCTATTGATTTTTTTAAGGTTTTAATAAACAGCTGTTCTGTCTTATTCAGACTAATTCGTCCTATCTTCAAAGCGCCACCCCTTCTGAGAATGCCAGTCTTTTCTACTTTCCTCCCAGTCTGTTTTCAATCTAATCAATGTCTGACTGACACATCTTCTTCTCTTTCCCTTTCTGCTTTTTTCACTGCTTTCCGACCTTTTTCTCTGGAATGTTCTGTTTGGTTGGATTTTTGCAAGATGGCACAGAGGATTCTGAGATGTTTTACATCCTTCAGATGGCTTGTGACCACAACTGTACAGCAGAAGGTAGCTGCTGGGATCTCCTAATAGGCTGGGCTGTATTAAGAGATCATCTGACATTTTATGTTTGCGTTGCCTGTTGGTTGTGGTTGTGTTTGGAGACTGTTGCTGTGATTGTGCAATATTAATTTCATTGTTGGATGCTCATCATGTTCCCAGTAAGTATCCAATGCTCTTGTTTGGGTGAAATGCATGAAATGGCGGGAGAGTGTTTGGGTAATCAACCAGTAGGTTTTTTTTTTCCATCTCAGTGTCCCCATTGATTGTTTTGCGTGACCATTTGACAAGCAAACAACTACATGATGATTTATATAATCGTTTTCACGTCTTTTCTGTTTTTACCATAAAAAAAGGTGGTAATTACGACAGCCGCTTTGACGTGGGCAAGGCCAGTGGAACCTTGATCGTAGCACGGCCCCTGGATGCTGAGCAGAAATCAAATTACAACCTGACAGTGGAAGCCACAGATGGGACACGAACTGTCAGCACTCAGGTAATTGAAACACTAATGAAACGGTTGGAGGCTGATGAGGCGAATGTCGTGGTTCTGTTTTCCTCATGTGAGAAATAATACAAGTTAAGAGAAGAGTAATGAGTGAACCTGCCAAACTGTCCTGTTTGTTTGCACATATCCATGTCGTCACTGCTCTCAACATGAGCTGAATTCAAACTGTACAATACAGACATTGTGTAAAGTGTTGGGCATTTATCTTTTCAGCATTAAAAAAAAAAAGTCGAACATTTCCTTGAAAAGAGCAGGGATAAAGCATGATTTAATTATTCTGTGCTCTTTGGAAACGGGAAATGTGACTAAAGTAATAATGAGGACTCGCGAGGGGACATTTCTCGTCCAGACTAGCTGACTTCCCAGAGTTTTCAGTTGCCTGGCAACTTCAAAGTTGCTCCAAGACTGCAGAAGTTGTTAGTTGTACTTTCCACCTTAGAGCCAGATTAGCTGTTTCTCTGCCTCCGGTCGTCCTGGGAAAAAAGTTAACCGTGCCGTGGCTGTACATTCATGCTTACTTTACAAAGACAGTAAGGCTTCCTCTCGTCAAATGAGCTCAGGGAGCACAAAGTTTTTAAAATAAAAAGGATAGATCAATATTCTGTTTCAGCTTTTGGAAGAGCGTTTTTTATTAATACATTCTCCAAGCATCATATTGCCAGTCAGCATATTTCATGTGAACGCTCAGCACCAATCCCCTCATTGTCTCAGTCCTGCTGCTGAGCCGCTGTGATGATGGCACTGTTTAGCCAAAGGGGTTTTGTTTCAAGTGTGCATTCTTGAGCCCCCTCAGCTCCTCCCGATGGCTGTTTCCCTCCCTGAACCAGTGAACCATCTCCTCCTTCACTCTGTGGCCAACAGATTGGTTCAGCTTTTCTTTTTCTCTGACACTAAATAACTATTTATGGAATAGTTGTGTTGGACCCCAGCTGATACCAAAGCCGAAGCCTGTGATAAAGGCTCTCGAAGAATGCAGTCTGGCTTTGGTTTTTGTTCCGACGGTCATGCCTTGTCCATGAGATTTTTGAGCATTTTTACATGGTAGTTTGGGTCATACAGGATGGGGACACTTAAAATGTTGCGTCCCCGGTCCTCATCCCAGCGCTTCAGAGAACTGTAGCAGGAAAAAAAATCTATTTGTTGTCACTCTGTATGAATAAAGCCTTTCATCATCTGGCTGCTGTGCTCCACTGAGCTTTGGATGAAGCGCCGCCTTCGCTGGCATTTTGGAGCTCGTCTGTGGAAGCAGCACGGCCTTTAGTTTAATACAGAATCTTAAAATCAGCCGCAAACTTTCTGTCTCCTCAGTCACTGTTTCACCCCTCTGTTAAGAACTTTCTTAAAAGGCCCGGCAACAGGGAGTTCTTTAAAAGCCTCTCAACATTACAGCACGCAGTGACATTTTAAGTCAAATTAATCAATCTAAAGGTTAACCCACCCAGAGGTCTGATTGTCAGTGAAGCTTGTTTTCAAGTTGAAGCATTTTTGCTGGAAAAATCATTTAATTCAAACCGGCTCCATAAACACAAAAGGTGCTTTTTTTGGTAATAGCAATAACCCGAAACTTTGTCTCATACATGAAAGATTATCAAAAAAATGAAAGCCTCAAGGTTATTTGAATACATTTAAATCAGTAAAGTTTAGCTGTCGCTTTCTTTGACCTCATCCCCTGATAATCTCACTTTTATTTTCAGTTTCAGAATTGTCTTTATGGATGACGGACTTTAGAGCGCTGGTGACTCTGATGAACTGTGAGATGCTCGGCTTTAGGAATGTCATTTCATCGGTTTCCCACGTTGCACTGAAATAGGTCAAAGAACCATGACGGAGTTAACTGACTGCAGCAGCAGCAGCCAGCAGCCCCTCTATCTGCCCTCAGATTAGAAATGAGCATATCTTTGTTCATACTATGTGAGCTGTAAGCGATCTGCCGACTCACAGACGAGTGTCGGTGCATGTGTTACTGTACACGCAGGCTGATTATTGTAAGTCAGCTGTTTATGTGGAGAGAACGGATTTACTGAACCGGTATGTTTCATAAACCATACTTTGCAATATTGGCTGCATGGGAAATGTGGGCTGCAAGAGTCATGAAAAGAAAATAGAAAAATAATCCATTTTAGGTTTTTGTGTACAGTGTTTGCAAATTGAAATGTGCCTTTAGAGTAGTGAGTCGCAGTAGTTGTTTAGGAAGATCCTTTTGGCAACCTGATATATTATGTGAGTAACAAGACTATGCTTCATAATCAGTGTCTCCCTTTCTGTGACTCTAAAATGAAACACCATACAGAGGATGTCCTTGAGGAGATCAGATGCAAAAGGAGCTGAGGACAGTATATTTGTTTAGAAACAACTAACACGGATTTTCAAAGCAAATTAGAGTTACATCGTCACACACGCAGAGCACCTCGTGAAAGCTGAAGGTTTGACTTATCTGTTCCTCAAATCAAAGTCATGTGGAGGCCATGCTGCCAGACAAGCTGGCCTATTTTCTACCTCCCTGGAATGTTTCCTTTCTCTCGCTTCTTTTTCAGACTCAAGTTCTCTTTGTATTTCTTTACGATTGTCTCCCACTCAGCCTTTTGAAAATCTCCGGATTTACAGGCCAGGCTCCAGAGTTGATGATTATTCTGTTTAGAGAGAATAAAGTGCAAACAAGAGTGCTGGACCTCTATGGGTAGTGGGAAGTATAAATCCTGTTTTGGGAACATGTTTGATCGCTCAGTGCCAGCGGCCTCCCTTTGCACAGAACCTGCCACCTGGCAGGGGGCTTCCTCTCCTACACATGGCACAGGAGGACAACAGGCTCAACTAAAGCTCCCTAATGCACTGTTCTGAACACAATACTGAAGAATTGTCAAAATTATCCAGACAAGTTCATATATTACAAGGTCTATTTTCAAACCACAGTGTCAAACTAAGGGGAAAATTAGTAATAAACTCATAAATAAATGCAGCCTTTCAGGCGGTCCGGTGGTGATTTTAGTTAAAAGGATTCTGGCTTCTGGGAGGTCTCGAGAGAACAGTTGGCCATTCTGCTGTGTACTTTCCATTGAACCGTCCTAATTCTATGAAGGCGTCTCCGAAGGATCAGCTGATGTAGACGAGGGGCGCAGCATTCCAGCTCGGGCACCTCATAGCCAGGAGCTGCGCCAGCAATGCAGCCTCAGCATGCAGCCATGCCTCCTCTCCCTGCTCCAGCTATATGACATCCTCCTTGGCTGTGCACAAGTACCTCAAGCTGTTCTGCTCACAATCTGTTCCCGGTCTCCTGTTTCTCATGTTATCTCAGTCCGCCTTACAAAGGCTCTCTTTATGTGTCTCTCACAGGCTCAGTTTCTTCGGCCAAAGTAACATTATTTTCTGCCCCGAGTATCCAAGCCAACTGTGTTGCATTTCAGTCTCCTCCTATTTTTTTTGTTGGTGTCTTTCTTTCATTTTAACTCCCAACTTTGTGTTTTCTAAATATCACCGTTTCCCCGAGCTTCCTTTAGTTTCGCTGTTATCTGTTTTACTCTTATCCCTCTCTAACAACGCTTTTTATCTTTAGTATCTCCACCTGCCACGTTTGTGTCTCAGTCCCAGTCTTTTTCCTCCTGAGCAATCCCCCGGGAAGCCAAAGACAAAAAGGCTTCAGAGCGTTGCTCTGCCACAGCATTTCTACCACAGCCAGACTGCATCGTGCTGATTTGGGATGTTTGGGGCAAGGATCCTTTGAAGTATTGTGGAGTCTCTTTACAAAGGGAACGGCAGGTTTTTCTTGCACATGTGGGGGTGAATCGCCTTTGTGGGTTTCACAAAATGTATTGGAATAGTACTTTCTGAAAAGATGTCAATGCTACTGACCAAGCTCCATTCCTTCCTCATTCCTTCCTCACCAGCTTTGTCCCATTCACTGGACATGTTATCTGACGCTGGCCAAATTTATACACACTGCCTCTTTGTGCAGATGCACATGTACAAATGCACCTTGGTGTGTGGGAGGCTTATACGTGTGTTCTAGGGCTATATGATGTCTGGCATAACATGAGAAAGCACACCTGGAGTGGGAGAGATTATGATGCTGTTGTCTAGTGGGTCGGTTTGGTTTTCTGGAGTCAGAATCGTTTGACAGACACGTACTGACTAACATAGACGTCCTGATTAGCTCTGTGACATTGTTTGTTTATGGCACCAGAGTTGTGGAAAACAAGCACTGGTGGACAGCATGTATCCCAGCGATCCCCCTGCAAGATGACATCTGTGAGCTTCAGCAGCGATGCCAGCTTCACAGCACACAGCAGATTGTAAATGTTATCAGTCCTGTCAGGTTGAGTCTATATTTGTCTGTGATATCAGCTCACAGTGCTCAACTAACAGCATTACCAGCACAAATGCCAGTGGACAGTTGTTTTGAGCAGAGATCTGACAAACCCCGGTTAGCATGAGAGCTATCACCGGGTCAGGGCTTTTGTGTCTGCAGCCCGCTCAAGTGTCGCTGCACCAAACCGTGAGCCTCCACTGGTCCCTGACGGGACATCACCCCCTGGTGTCTGGCATGCAGGTGTCTAATCTGGGCTGATCCCTTTGTTCCCCATGTTTGGCAACGGTAGAAGCCCCTCGCTGCTCTGGCAAGCAAAGATGGCATTCCTGCAGCTCTCCATAATCCTCTGTCGGAAGTCCAGTAGACGAGTGGCTGCTGTTGATAAAACATGCTCGCAGTGGAATTTTACAGTTCGGGGATGGTGAATTCTTTATTTTGTTTATATAGAGGGGGAAAAAAATGCAGTCCCTCAATGCAATCACGCTCACACAAACACATTGTCTTTGCTGTCCAAAGCAAAAATCCCATGTGTACAAACTTCTTTATGAATTTAAATCTGAACTGTTGCTCATCAGAGAACACAACTTGGGAACGAAAGAATAATTTACCATGGAAAGTTATCCCTTATTTTGTGCATTTCTATTACCGTTAGTGCCTTTTTTGCTAGTCAACAGTTGAGAGCTTTTCCTGCTTCATCATGCTGACCTTTCCAGCTGAATCAGCTGTTCCTGCAAAAGTCTGAGACAAAAGACTTTGAACTTATTAAGAATTGATCTGTATTTTACTGTAAGCAGCATTAAGTGTACTCTATGTAAAAATGTGGCTGTTGCTGTCATGTATTGATCTGGTCTGTGTCATGATCCACCAGGTCAACATTTAGCGTTGTAGTAAATGTGTGTAAATTGTTAGCGAACAGACTTAGATATAATGCCTTAACATTTCCTGGACAATATGCATATACTTAAAAATGTATCCCACTTTTTCCTTTTAAATGCATGGATTTTTAAATAAAAGATTTTCTTTTTGTTTCAGGTGCTCATCCGTGTCATTGACACCAACAACCACCGGCCACAGTTCCTCAATCAGGTTTATGTAACAAATGTTCCTGAAGACAAACCACCAGGGACAGAGGTCCTTCAGATCAGCGCCGTGGACAGGGATGAGAAAAACAAACTGACCTTCACCCTCCTCAGCAGCACAGATCCATTCAGCCTGAGGAAGTTCCGCTTGGACCCAGGAACAGGCACTTTGTACACCACTGAGCGACTCGATCATGAAACTATGCATCGTCACATCCTCACTGTCATGGTATGAATCACAAAGCACCGGCAAATTAGCTGTGTGTTTCCAGGGATAATTCTGGTTCTACGTTAAAATAGTTCATCTCAGACTGTTAAGTTAAGCTAAAAAAAGGAGCTGTGAAATCATGTTGAATAAGTTTGTTTCTGTGGACTTTTTATGCTACCCTAGAGATTAAATTTCCCTCAAGAGGCCATTTCTTTTTTCCTGGTTCCCTTTCTTGATCATTTTCTTCTTTCCAGGTGCGAGACCAGGACATTCCAGTGAAGAGAAACCTTGCACGTGTTATTGTCAATGTGGAAGACACAAACGACAATGCGCCCTGGTTTATAGCAACGCCTTACTCAGGCCGTGCGTTTGAATCAGCCGCTATTGGCACAGCAGTGCTGCAGGTCACTGCTCTCGACAAAGATAAGGGCAGTAATGCAGAGATCATCTACAGCATCGAATCAGGTAAGTCTTCCAAAGCTCCAGTGCCTCTCAGCTGAGCACCTCGATCCTGGTATTTTATTCCCCCTATTACAGAAAGATTTCATTGTGTAATAAAGTACATTAAATCAGCGCATTAAAATGCATCAGTCATTTCAGTCATGCTGCCCACAGGATCTTTTTCATGAATGAAATACTTTTCCAAGACAAGAGAAATAGAGAAAACATTGTTCAGACTCCAATCTGTAAGGGATGGGCAGATTCTCATAGTTTGCCATGATTACTTTTTCCCACAATAAGAAGCAAGAAGCATGCCGTAGAGACTCTGTTGCCTTCTTTATGGGCTTAATTGTAGATTCCTTTCTGTGGTCTGCCTTTGTGATGAAATGTCAAGTGTCTAATGTTAAAACTATGCAACATTTTAAAAAGTCATTAACTGTATTTCCCTGGTTCAGCATTTGGAAAATATATTTAACGTTATTCTCTGATATCTTTTGTCTCACAGGAAATGTAGCAAACTCCTTTGCTATTGATCCTGTCCTTGGAACAATCACAGTTGCAAAAGAGCTGGATCGCAGCAGCAAGACAGTGTTTGAACTCCTCGTAAAGGCCTCCGACAGCGGCACCCCACCCCTGTCCACTAGCACTGCCGTCAGCATCATTGTAACAGTTTCTGACAACGCAGCCCCCAGATTCACTGAAAAGGAGTTCTCTACAGAAATCAGTGAATCGGCCCCTCCAGGAAGTTTTGTGAGCTCCATCGCATCCGTCAGCCAGTCCTCTGTCTTCTACCAAATCAAAGGTGGAAACTTTGACAACATGTTTGATGTAAATCCAAACTCTGGAGTGGTGGTAACACAGCAAGCTTTAGATTACGAGACCACCCCTCAATACAAGCTCACCATACAGGGCACAAACATGGCCGGACTCTCCAGCAACACAACACTTACCATCCACCTGAAAGACGAAAACGACAACGCTCCAGTTTTCACCCAGAGGGAATTCAAGGGGGTGATCAGCGAGTTAGCCCCCGTCGGGAGTGTTGTTCTGACCCAGAAAAACAGCCCCTTTGTCATCCATGCCTCTGATGTTGATTCTGAGAAGAATGCCAGGCTCATTTATCAAATAGTGGAACCCTTTGCTCATAACTATTTTGCCATCGATTCCAGCACGGGAGCCATCAAGATAACAACAGCTCTGGACTATGAGCAGAGGAACGTCTTCCACTTCACAGTTCAGGTCCATGATTTAGGAACGCCACGACTCTTTGCAGAGAACGCAGCCAATGTGACCATTGAAGTAATTGATGTAAATGACTGTTCACCGATTTTCAGTCAAGAGGTGTATGAAACCAGCATCATTTTGCCAACATACAAAGGAGTAGAAATAATCCAAGTAAATGCCACTGATGCAGACTCTGGGCCTAACTCTAAACTTCTCTTTTCCATCTCTGAGGGAAACATTGGTGATAAGTTCAAAATGGATCCAGTGACAGGCATCATCGCTATTCAGAACGTCACACAGCTCAGGAGCAGATATGAATTAAAGGTTAGGGTTTCTGATGGGAGGTTTGCCACTGTTGCAACTGTGAAGATCAGTGTTAAGGAAAATAAGGGCAGTAAGATGAAGTTCACCCAGGAGGCCTACAAAGCATACATTCAGGAAAATTCTTCTGACAAGAAAACCCTGGCAGTGATCGCTGCTATTGGGAACCAAGTGAATGAGCCTTTGTTCTATAGAATTTTGAACCCTGACAGCAGGTTTAAAATCAGTCGCACATCTGGGGTTATCTCAACCACCGGCATTCCCTTTGACCGTGAAGCACAAGACAGCTATGACATTGTGGTTGAGGTCACCGGAGAGGATCCGACTGAAGATGCTGCTCATGTTTTAGTTACTGTGATCGTGGAAGATGTGAATGACAACAAACCTATGTTTGTGAACCTTCCCTATCACGCCCTGGTCCAAATCGATGCAGAGGAAGGCCAGGTCATACGTCAGGTCACAGCAGTGGACAAAGATGTGGGCCAAAATGCAGATATCCATTATTACTTACAGGAGCATCAAGAGCACTTTGAGATGAGTCGATCTGGGGAAATCTTGCTGAATAAGAAGCTGGAGAAAGACTCACTCAACACAGACTTTGTTATAGTTGTTGTGGCAAAGGATAATGGAGAACCAGCTCTCTCAGCAGCAGTAGAAGTGCCCGTACGAGTGGTGAACAAAGCAATGCCTGTGTTCGAGAGGCCTTTTTACAGCATTGAAATCCCTGAAAACATTCAGTTGCACTCTCCTGTGCTCCATGTGCAGGCCAATGACTCTGAAGGCCCTCGCATTGTGTACACCATCTCTGAGGGAGATCCTTTCAAACAGTTCTCAATAGATTTCAACACTGGCGTCATTCATGTGATCCAGTCTTTGGACTTTGAGACACATCCCGCCTATAAGTTAAACATAAGAGCCACAGACTCGCTGACTGGAGCCCACTCTGAGGTGTTTGTAGATATCATACTGGAGGACGTAAATGATAACGCTCCTGTCTTCATGTCAAAGGCTTATTATGCCAATATTTCTGAGGCCTCTGTCATCGGTACGTCAGTTTTGCAGGTGGATGCCAAAGACTCCGACACTGGAAATAACAAGGAAGTGTTCTTTCAGCTGGTTGAGGAGAGGGGTAAGAGCTCAGAGTACTTCACCATTGACCGTGACACAGGAATAATCTCCACGGTTAAAGTCCTTGATCATGAGGAGATCCAGCAGCACAAGCTGAGAGTGCGTGCGGTGGACGGCGGAGTTCCAGCCCTCTCCAGCGATGTATTTGTGACGATCGACGTTGCTGACCTGAATGACAATGCTCCCGTATTTACACAGCACACGTACAAAACCACCATCAGCGAATTAGCACCACGTGGACACTTTATCAGCCAAGTCCAGGCGTCAGACGCTGACAGTTCAGATGTAAACAAGTTGGAGTTCTCAATTATCTCTGGAAACGAAGAGCAGAACTTTGCCATCAACAAACAAACCGGAGCCATCGTCGTTTCAAACCACCGCAGGCCACATATGCTGCCTCTGTACCATCTTAATGTGTCGGTGTCAGATGGTGTATTCAGAAGCTCGGCGCTTGTCTTAGTGACAGTGATTGGTGCCAACTTCCACAGCCCCACTTTCTCTCAGGTGGACTATTTGGTAGAGCTGATTGAGAACTCGCCGGTTGGTACCTTGGTAGCAGAGGCAGAGGCCACAGATGATGATGAAGGCATTTATGGACAAATATCATACCAGATTGTCAATGACTTTGCAAAAGAGAAGTTCACTGTAAATGAAAGAGGAGAGATTTTCACTCTGGAAAGCCTCGATCGTGAAAACACAGTTGAGAAGGTTATTCCTATCTCTTTAAGAGCTCAAGATGGTGGTGGAAAAGTAGGCTTTTGCGTTGTCAATGTCATTGTTACTGATGCAAATGATAATGCGCCACAATTCAGAGCAGTTGAGTACAAAGCCACGATTGCATCAGATGTTCTAAGAGGAACCTCTGTGCTTAAAATCGCTGCCTCAGACATGGATGAGGGGAGCAATGCTGACATCGAGTATTCACTTGAAGCAGATGTTGAAAATGTGGGTGAGAATTTTGAAATCCACAAAACCTCCGGAGTCATTGTTACCAAAGAAAGCCTCATTGGACTTGAAAATGAACTCTATGCATTCTTTGTGAGAGCTAAGGACACTGGGAACCCACCCCAACATTCGGTTGTACCGGTTTACATCAGGATTGTCTCATCGGAAACTCCAATTCCCAAATTTGCAGAACTGCAATATCGCCATACTGTTGCTGAGGACCTTCCCATCGGGACAGAGATAGTTGTGATTCAGGCTGAGGCCGAGCAGCCACTTGTTTACAGCCTTGTGAATGGCAACACTCCAGAGAGCAATGAAGATGAAGTGTTTGTGGTTGACAGAGACAGTGGAGCCTTGAAGCTGCAAAAGAGCCTTGACCATGAGACCACCAAATGGTACCAGCTCACTTTGGTCGCCCAAAGCAAATACGAAGATAACGAGATTGTTTCCTCTGTAATTGTCAACGTCCAGGTGAAAGATGTTAATGATAACAAGCCAATCTTTGAAGCAGACCCTTATGAGGCTGTGACAGCGGAAAACCTCCTAAGTGGTACTCAAGTGATTCAAGTCAAAGCCACCGACCTCGACTCTGGAGCCAACGGCCGTGTGGTCTACAGCCTGGATCCCAAGCAGAACTCCCCGGAGATCTCCGAGCTGTTTGCCGTGAATGGCGAAACTGGATGGGTGACCACCTTGAAAGAGCTGGACCGAGAAAGCACAGACAAATACACAGTTGCTGTCATTGCCACGGACCAAGGCGATGTGGTCCAGCACGTTACCGGCACCACAGTGGAGGTAACAGTAGCCGATGTGAACGACAACCCGCCGCGCTTCACCGCAGAGATCTACAAAGGGACGGTCAGTGAGGATGACCCGCCCCCCAGCGGGGTAATCGCCATCCTCAGCACCACAGACAGTGACTCTGAAGACATTAATAAGCAAGTGAATTACTTTATCACAGGTGGGTCTTCATTCCTTTTTGAAACAGTAATGATACGTTTGTGCATGTATTCCACATTTTTACAAACAAAGCTCAGGGGATTGGCATTTTGTGCCACTTCATATGATTACAATATTGAACATTTTTAAACATCATACAGTCTTACATCTGTGTTTTCTCATAATCTAACCAAGCTCTCATCTAATTTAATGCAACATTAAAGTGTGATTTCTTTGAATAATGCCTTTATATAGACTGGGTAAAGACTGGCACCAATTAGCTAGTGTGATAACCTGTGCCAGATTTGGAAATAGAAGGAATTAGAAATGATCTGTATTCTTATTTATCAGACGCTCTTTTCCTCTTGGTTTGCCAGATTCGTTGTTCAGCAGCAATATTTGCTTTTGAAGTCACGGCCTGCTTTGTGAAGTAGCTGTGAATAAGTCTGTTTTTGTGAGCATGTTTGTTTGAGTAATTACCGATTGATTGTTCAGAGAATAGAACTTTTTCAATGTCTCAGGCTGCCTCTGAATCGTTGGCTGTGCTACAGAGGTGTGTGTCTTTGTGTCACCAAACAGGAGGTGACCCACTCGGCCAATTTGCCATTGAGCACATCCAGAATGAATGGAAAGTCTCTGTCAGGAAGCCCTTGGACCGTGAAGTGACAGACAATTATCTCCTCAACATTACTGCCAGTGATGGCATCTTCACTGCCAAAGCTGTTGTGGAGGTCAAGGTGCTGGATGCCAATGACAATGACCCAGTTTGTGAAAAGGTATGGTCCACTTGGTCGTTATATCTATAAGCTGTGCTCATTTATTTCCGGAACTCACTTCGGTTTCTACCCCTCCTCCACCTTTTCTGCTCCCCTGCGCGTCCCCCAGTTTGTCTACAGTGAAAGCGTCCCGGAGGACTCCCCGGCTGGCAGGCTCATCTTGCTGGTCTCCGCCACAGATTCTGACATCCGCTCAAATGCCCAAATCTCTTATGAGCTCCAGGGAGCTGGATCTGAACTGTTCATCATTGACTCTGTCACAGGTGCGTTTCTGTGCATCAGCCCGCATTTGACTAAAACCAACCCAGTAAAAAGAGCCGTAATTGTGTGATGTTTTATGTAACACAGGAAAAATTATCTCGGTTTATGAATAATAGATTCAGTTTGAATAATTGGACTTTATTGCCTATTTGTAGACGCTTTGTGCTATTTGTGTCAGACGTATTGTGAGTTTAATGTAGCAGGATGTAACACTAACATGTCATGAAATAGGCCTGTTCCACAGCATTTAACAACAAAATGTTCAAAGATCAGCCTGACAGCAGTTTAAATTCTACACACAAGTTGTCATTCTACTTCAAACTTTTTTCATATAAGTTATCATCAGTCAGAGAGCAGAATTTTTTGTTTTACCCAGTCTTGATTTACTTACTCATTTTTAATAGCCCAGAATACGTCCCCGCAGGGCAGCAGAAAGCCTTCCAGTGGTATTAAGGTTCAGAGCAGCAACCTTATTCTGAATTCATGGCTGTAATTCTCTACTGCAAATTATTTCCTCTGGGAGGAATAAGACCTTCATGTAGCTTCTAGGATGAAAAAAGGAAACTGAAAAATAAACACAATCCTAGTTAATCAAACCAGCCTGCTTTCAAATGAATGCCAAACAAAAGCATGAGCACATAGAGCAAACTAGGCTTGTAGATCTTAGCAGTCATTTGCAGTCACAGAAAGAACAACGGGCTGCTATGCCATCCAGTCTCCTTATGGCACAGCTCAGTATTAAGTTTCCAGTATCGGCGCTTCTGTTATAGAAGTGGAATGCTTTTTTTCTTCTTTAATTTCCAGGGCAGACAAGAAGTATCGCAAATTAGGATTGCAAACAGGCTCTGGAGTTTTGTGGTTGTAGTAATATCGGCTGCCTCACCCTCGAGGACACTTTCAGGCTCCACTCTCATGTTTTCCTTCATCAGAACCCTCTATTGCCTTTCTTTTATCTCCTTGTGAGCTTCAACAAGTTATTCTGTTCCTTTGCTACCATTCTGATATGCTTTATTTATTCGGTAGAGACACTATTTGTGATGAGAATACGTGCACATGCTTGGTTCGTTAATTGGTTACAAATCCACATCTGAGTTGGACACATGTGTGTAACTTCAGGGGAACTGAAGACCAAGGAACCCTTGAACCGAGAGGAGCAGTTCGAACATAAGTTCAGAGTGCGAGCGGTGGATGGAGGAGGGAGGTACTGTGAAGCTGAAATCCACATCACGGTGGAGGATGTCAACGACAACTTGCCGCAGTTCTCATCCGACCCGTACACCATCACGGTGTTTGAGAACACTGAGACGGGCACATACGTTGCCAAGCTGCAGGCAAATGATCTTGATACTGGTGAGTCATTTCATTCCTAGGCACTCTTAACAGAAAATTAGATGATAAAATGAACTGTTTTAGTCGCAATTTCTTTTTTTAGTTGCTATTTTAATTTAATATTAAAGATGCATATCTGCTACGGAGCACTTAACATATGAGGCAAATTTTGTCCATACTAAGAGTCTGATCACCTCCTGGCAGATCATTTTGAATTCCATTCTCACATGCTCACATGTAGTTTTTGATCCTAAGAAGACCAATTTACAGCTCAATAATTCAAACTCTTGGACAGAAAGCATCTTACTTTTTGCTACCTAATGTTTTACACCAACATATCTTTAGCAGATTTTATTCGAAATTCTTGTCCCCAACTGATGTCTGACAATGTTTACTGTTGTTTCAAACAAGAACAGGATCTTTATTACGATAAAGTAAAGCATTTTCATCCATATTGATCCGTTTATGAGACCCTGTCCACCAGTTCTTTTTACTTCAGTTTGGTAGAATTATTTAAAAAGAAAGAAAACAAAACTCCTTCCCTCCAGGGCTCAAAAATGCTGAACATCGGTCTTTTTACAGCCACATGCTGAGTCAGCATGAGGTGAGGCCTGCAGCTTGGCCACACTGTTGTAGTTGAAGGCAGAATTTTGGTTAATGGTCAGTTAAACTTCAGATTCCTTCTTAGAAACAATGCACTTACCACGGTTAAACCACAAGGGTTGGGGGCATTAAGGATATCAGGCTACGGTGGCTTTGGGTATTACAGAAACACTAAAGGTTTTATAGGAAAGGGCCCCATGTTTCACATAGAAAGAAGGCCTAGTAGTCAGATGGAAGCTACTTAAAAAAGAGAGTGTTACAGAAATAGTAAATGAGAAGCATTTTTTTAGTGGATGGGTCATTTGAGTATCTCTAACAGGGCTCTGACAATGTTTATGTTAAATGATTCAAAGAGCCTCTTCAAGCTTCTTTTTTGTTCACTGATGGTATAATTAGCCATTCGAAAGACTATAGACTATGGAGGTTTTTACAGGAATAAAACCTAATGGCCTATCAGTATGCTCACAAAGGTCTGTATATGTGCTCCAAGTCCAATCAGCAGCAACCGCGAGCACAGCCCCAGGTCACAATAGAACTGAGCTCCCAGGTGATTCAAGAGTATACTTTAGAAACAGCCATTAGCATCAGAGCTTGTTCTCATTCATCATGGATTTGCACTGACTAACTTTGCACTTATTAACTTCTTGCTGTGGTGTATTGCTTTACGCTAAACAGGAGTGGGAAAGAAAACAAATGCGAAATTTTATGAAAGAGCAGCCCCTCAAATTAAAAGCTCCATTACACTCTAATGAAATTCCTTTCTCTGCAAGCTAAATTCTCAAAAGGGAAGATTGCTATTTTCCATTTGCCTTGTGCAAAATCATGTGGCCACATATTTATCTCAGGCGTCTCCCCTACTCTCAACAGACAGTGACAATCTCTTAGAAACTCACAGATAGCTGGGTCTCAGAGCTTAAATCAGGCAATTTAACAGTCACTGGAAGTCCTTAGGATGCTTTTCTTTTCTTTCTGGTGGACCTGCAATTCTAGATTGTACTCTGTGCTAAGTGAAGCGAGACCTAAAGCTTTAAGAACCTTTTCAGATGGTGACTGACAGAGAACCGACACTATCTGTCTCTTTCTATTCCCCCCCCTTCTTTTTTAGAGAGCAGGGGGGCAGCCCTCGCCATGACAGAATGAAAGGAATGCTAGAAGTGAAAATCCAGCAGAGATAAATGATAAATAGTGAAAAGAAAGCTAGCATTAAGACATCTCTTTGCAGATGATTGACTTGGTTAAAATTAGCCCCAAATTGTGAATATCAAGAGAAGTGTATTTTAAAAAAACGAGTTGAAGCACAGATCATTTATCCCACTCATGGGTCATTCTGCGTATCGATTTGTATCTTTTGTAAGTTAGTGGTGTTTTTTATTAATTTATAAACAAAATACACTGTAAGCCAGTCTCAACTAGAGAATAATAAGCATATAGAAATGTGTGTATGGGCGTGTGTGTGTATAATGTACCTAACACTCAAAATTTGAAGCCAAAAAGCACTGCATTATACTCCATATTCCGGGCTTATCTCTCAGTGGACTCATTCCTGGCATCAGTTTCTCTGCCACAGCCTCTATAATTCCTCCGCGATGTCTGAAACTCACCCACATAGTTTCTCGCCAGTTGAGCCTTCAGTTACAATCTCCAAGAGGCAGCACTTTTCAGTGCAGAATGATTAGGAATCAGACAGAGACGCAGACCCAGACTGGTGCCCTTGATCTGCGATAAACTTCAACATTCCTTCTGTGATTCTGTTTGGTCCTCCATCATATCATATCAGCATATCTTAGAAGAGGAGTCCACAAACCTACACAAGGAAGCCAATGTTGACACATATATGTTACAGAAATGTGTGTCCTTAGGTGTGCTTTTTGATACTGAATTATTTGTTGTTTATCAAATTTTAGATAATAGCTCAGAATTCCAACTGTAATTTTCGAAAGCGGTAGAGCTCTGCATGTATAGGAAAAGCTGCCTGTTCATTGTCTGCTTATCGACTCTCAAATAAATTGACTACATTTCTCCAGCTCTGCTTAATATGAAACACTCCAGCCATGGGAATAGGATGAGCATCATGAACATGGGCGTGTAAGACAATATAGGCAATCATAGTTCCAGACAATTCTGTTAACCATCATAAGCTTATGACTGATCAGACCATAGGAAAGAGATGAGAATCCATATTAGTGGGGTTTGTCTCTCAAGCATGATAATGGGATCTAGTGAGGTTGGGGGGCACTTACCTGATAAATGGGACTATAATAGCGTATTCCGAATGGGGACCACCTGCAGTAAAGCATTATGATTATTAATGTGATCAGTCTTTGTCTTGTTTCTGGGAACATCTTGCTGGTGGGAGGAAATGAGTTATGTGAAAGGGGTAGATTAGACGTACACAGCTCCTGTTTCAGAGGCTCTGCAATGAGGGATGTTTTGGAAGTAAAGTAGAAGCAAAAGTGAATAACCGACTGGAAAAGTATCAGGCTTTATTATACTGTGTACTTAAAAGCTGTAAATTTGGAAGATGTGGCCATCAATTTGAGCACTGATAATAACATTCCTACCAGCTTGCTAAGTATGATGGGAGGCCGGACGCCGAAACAAATCACAAGTTAAAAGCTGCCACTTCATAAATGATAAGAATGCTTTCCAAAGAGCAATAAAAGAACCTATGTTGCAAAGGGCACACCAGAGTAATCATTCTCATGTCATTCCAGGTCTGAATGGGGACATCCTCTACTCGTTGGTTGACTCGGCCGAAGGAGCTTTCTCCATTGACCAGCACACTGGGGTAATGACCCTGGAGCGCCCCCTGGACCGCGAAGTGCAGTCGGTGTACGAGCTGAAGGCTCGCGCCAGCGACCAGGGTTCCCCGCGCCTGTCCTCCCTCTGCGCGGTGGTGGTGTCCGTCCTGGACATCAACGACAACCCGCCGGTGTTCGAGCTCCGCGAGTACACGGCCACCGTGCCCGAGGACGTGGCCGTGGGCACTCAGGTGCTGAGAGTCCTGGCGGCCAGCCGCGACGCCGACGCCAACGGCGAGATCTCCTACAGCATCATCAGTGGGAATGAGCACGGCATGTTCAGCGTGGACCCCCGCACGGGTGGGTAGTGGTGTGGAGCAGAACAAAAAAAAAAGTCCTCTTCTCAAGCGTTTGTCTGTGTTTTAGGCAGTGGTGTGCAAAGAGAAAACTGGCCGAACCGGGTCACTTTGTTTTAGACATCAAATGGCTGCTCGTTGTAGATAGCATGCCAGTTTTTGCATTGTTGGAAACCATGTTAGACTTTTAGATGTCTCTGCCTTATCGCCTGTGCAGGGCTGACGTAAAAGGGATTTCAAACAGCAGATTGTGTTGCGTCTAACAGGTCGCAGACACCCTGACATAGCTGTGGATATGCACAAACCAAAACGTGCCGGTTAGACCCCAGAGAAGCTCTGCTCAGTGATCTGGGATTTCAGGGTGAATTTCTTTCGCTGCGCTGTGATTGTCTTTCGGAATTGGTGCCATGCAACACCACTGGGGAAAAGAGTGAAAATTACATTTATTTTCTTGGTGCCAGCAGTGACCGAGTCCCAACCCGAGGGCTGAAAAATGAGCACAAACTGCTGTTCTTAAAATGGCTGCTTGGTGCTGGCTCCAGGAATGAGTAATTTCCCAGACTTCCGTATTAAGATTACCAACTTTACAACAAAAATAGATGTGCTTGCATCCTGATAAAAATAGAGTGGTATTTATATTTAATTGAACTGCCTAAAGTCATGGAGTTTTGAGCGGTGCTGAATCTTCTCTCGAGTTTGAGTTTGGTTTGATGTGACAGTGTTTGCACGTAAAAGTACAACACATAATTGTTGTGGTCTCATCATTACAAGGATGGACTTTTTCATCCAGCAGGTTATCAAAATGCTTTTTGTATAATTTTCTGAAGAATTTAGTAAAAACATGGATCCTGGTGGTAACTCTTGTTAAATTCCTGCCTTTCCACTGTCTACTCCCAGGTGACGTCTTTGTGATTGAGACGTTGGACTATGAGGTCTCTCATGAATACTACATTACCATAGAGGCAACAGATGGCGGTGCCCCACCGCTCAGCGACATGGCCACTGTGAACATCAACCTGACTGATGTCAATGACAACAGGCCTGTCTTCAGCCAGGACATTTACACCACTGTCATCAGCGAGGACACTGAGCTGGGAAAGACCGTGTTAGCGGTAAGGATGCACATGTTGTCCGACATATGTGTTCCTGTAGTAGAAAGCAGATGGTTGTTATATGGAAATAACACACAATTACTCCAAAACCCTCATGCTGGGTTACCCATTTCTCACCGGTTAACTTTCCTCCAGCTAACTCTGTCTTTTCATCCACCTTCTCACTCAGTCGTTCCTTTCCTCCCTCACAGCCCGTCTCCTCGCTGCCCATTATTTACTGAATACACTATCACAAATCTGCACCTGTGGCAATTCACCATCTGGTGGAGGAGCTAAATTAGGACCACTGCTCTTCATGCTCAGTGCACCCCTGTTCCTGAGCAGTATTTGACACACATGTCCAAACACGATAATTAAAATGCATTTTCTCATTACCTGCTATCCAGGATAGGGCATTTAAATCCCTTGCATGTTACAGTTTCACTCTGGTGGCTTTCTGTCTTTCTCTGTCTTTTGATTTGTGTATCTAATGTGTATGAATAAAAGTCAACAATCAGACATTTACAAATATAAATATATAAAAGATAAACTTTTTCCATAAGACATTTTTACTCAGATAAAGAAATTGTTAACTTTTGGGGATTTGTAGGTGTAGATTCACTGGGATATTTTCCAACAGCAGACTCAACAGTTTTTTATTCAGAAATTGCCAAATCCTGATATGTCCGTGGTCACAACAAGGTTGTTCCACCCACTCGAAGCACCTTTGTCACACAAACACTCTACAGAGAAGGAATGAGAAATCTTCTGTGGGGAATAAACAATTCATTCACATTTGGCAGAGAACTGGTTGTGTAATTGGCTTCCCACTGATCATGCAGAGGCTGATTCAGAAAATAGCTTCTCAGAGCTTACATTGTCTCAACATACACAAGCCTTTCTCGTTAAATGTTGAGTGATTAATCTGGATGTTCTCATTGGTCTCATTCAAAGGTGATGGCTGAGGACGCTGACGGCCCTTCTTTCAATCACATCCGCTACTCAATTGTGGATGGTAACCAAGGTAGCCCGTTCACCATTGATCCGCTGCGAGGGGAGCTTAAAGTTGCTCGCCAGCTGGACAGAGAAAGGGTAAGAGTAATAGCAGATACAACGCTGACTGTTCACATATGGTGTAATCCACTGTGGAACTAATTGCCGTCTATGCAGAATCCAATCAGACTTATGTCAGACCTAATAGGGAGGCCTGTTTAGTGCTCTCTGCTGCGTTATTGCTCAGAGCTGCAGCTTGCTCTATGTATAGTAATTATTGCTTCATTTCTCTCTCAGACGTCTGGGTACACTCTGACGGTGGTCGCCTCAGACAACGGGGTGCCCCCCCTTTCCAGCAGTGTCATGATCAACATCGACATCTCAGACGTCAATGATAACCCACCCCTATTCTCCCAGGCCAACTACAGCCTCATCATCCAGGTAAGTGGGGGAAGGGTTCAAAGGAGACGACTGATTAGAGGGGAAGAGATCGTTTGAGAGGAGGAAATAGGCAGGAGGCTGCAGGAGGGATTCCAGTGGACACAGAGAGGGATTAACAGGGAGAAATAATGGAAGGCAGTGGGACTAGAATATCAAAAAGCAAGTAGGACGATGGAACAAGAACAGAGGTAAGAAGAAAGGGGAGAGAAAGGGGTGGGGGAAATGGAAGACAGGAGCTGCATCTTAAGTATAAGAATGTAGATCAGGGATGGAAGAATGAACAAACGAGGAGTGGTGGAGACTGAAATGTGCAAGTAAAAATCAAAGAATAAAAAGGAACATTCAACTTTGTTTGAGCCTCAGAGATCAAGAAAGGGAGACTAAGAACTGATTCCAAAGGTCAAAGCAAGTATAGTACCTTTGCAGAAACAGTAGTATAAAGCACAAAGTAAGTGAACAAAGCCACCCTTAACCCACACATTGTTCAATAGACAGGCTTTTTGAAGTCTTGATTTCAACTTAGTTAAAAGAAGAAGTGGCTCGCCAGCGGCTCAGAGTACAGCAGACTTTTCTTGTCACTCAGCTGTTCACTGACAATTTCTGGAAATGGAAACTTAATTCATAATGTTCATATCAAGCCAATAATTAATAGAGTCATTTCCCACAGACATCCTTTTGCAACCTGAAGAGCTGCCACCTGCTGGCCTTTTGATAGAATGGAGGTTTTAGGAGTCTCTCACCTTCTTTTTTTACAGTCTGTGGACATGAAACTCAGCTAAACCATATAAGGATGAAAGATTGTTTTATCTCTGGACAAACGTTTCTTCCAAAGTATTCACAGAAACTTTCTAATTAAACAAACATGGACAAAAACAACCTTTGAATTTTATACCAACTCTTTTAATGTTGCTCATTAAAAGCCAAGCCACCACATGTTTGACAAGCTGTTCATCTCAGCCAACATCATATTAGTGCTTTGCCCAACAGTTCTAAAGGTAGTTTAGCAGCCCCGAGGCTGCTTTGAGCTAAGCAAAGGGAAGCCTGCTGTCGGCTCAAGCTACTGTTTAACTGGACCACTGCCTTTGTCTCAGAATCACAGGTTTTATTTGAGTAAAGTGACTCTGGCATATATATTGAGAGGAGGTTTATTGGAATTTCAGCTGTACAGACGCCATTTTAAACTCGACCATAATCATTTAAAACAAATGGTCGGGCTTTGAAGCATTTGTGTTCCACCAAGGCCCATTCAGTCCTAGGTAATAACATGCAGAGTGATTTGAACTCAAGCCGCATTATAAACCAGCGTTATGATCAAATTAGCCCCGTGTGGTTTGTAGGTCGACAAAAATATTTGTTCACATCATGGAACACACTGTTCCTGAATCAGAACGCATTATACTTTTAAAATAGAGTATGATGGGAGAGATGACTGAAACCCCGTCTAGCTTGTCACTTTAGGGGCTCAGCACTCTGCTTTCAGTTCATATTCCGACTGCCGGTAAACATTTGAACAGGATAAAATGAGATAATGTCATGACGAGCAGCTCCTCTGTCCCCCAGGAGAACCAGCCAAAAGGCACCAGTGTTCTTCAGCTCACTGTGAGCGATCGAGACGCCTCTCACAACGGCCCACCTTTCACCTTTACCATCGTGGACGGAAACGAAGACGCTGCTTTCCACATCAATCAGCAGGGAGCTCTGGCGACCACGGGGGTTCTGAGTAGGAAAAATAAAGAACACTACTTACTTCAAACTCAGGTGAGTCACAGTATGAAGGAGAGGCAAAAGCTGGGGGGGGGCATCGATCTGACTGTCCAGCTCCAGCAGTCTGCTCTGTGTGCCCTCCCTTTTTTCTTCCTTCTATCAAGCCCTTCTCACTCATTTTCCCCAGCCAATTTTCCTCTCAGCATCCATATCCCTTAGACCTTAAATACGGTTTGCGTTAGGCATCCTGATACATAAGCAGTGGAGTTGAAGCAGGCCTACAGTAAAGCAGCTGCTTCACAGCGCATCTCAGAGGGGAGGCTTCAGTAACACTCTTTGATTTGCTTTGATTTGGCTCATTCACGTGTCACCTCTGAAGAAGGAAGAGATTTGTGTGGGCAGATGGGACATGAAATGTTAAGTGTGATGTGGGTTTTGCACGCGAAATCCACACTCAGTTTTGAGTCATCCCCCTTCTTAGAAAAAAAACGATAGTTAAAATGTTTGATGTTGTGTTGGCTCTAGTTCTGGTGTGTCTGTAACGTGCGGATGCCATTTACTGAGGCGTGCGAGTAGTGAAAGCTCTAGATTGCCCTCTGCTGACGGACTCTCTTCTTTCACATTCAGGTGTCGGACAGTGGCAAACCCCAGCTCTTCTCTACCGCCTTCATTAGTGTGCGCATAATTGAAGAGAGCGTTTATCCGCCCACAGTACTTCCACTGGATATTTTTGTCACTATTGCCGGTGACGAGTACCCCGGAGGTGTCCTGGGCAAGATCCACGCCACAGATCAAGACATCTACGACACTCTGACCTACAGCCTCGCCCCCTCGGCCTCGTCCACGGACGAGAGCGCTGCCCTGTTCTCCGTGTCAGGCTCGGACGGTAAAGTCATCGCTCAGCAGCCGCTGGACGTGGGCCATTACCCCCTAAATGTGACAGTGACTGATGGGCGCTTCACAACGCCCGCCGACGTCACCGTGCACGTGCGCCAAGCAGCGGCCCAGGCCCTGGACAACTCCATCGCTGTGCGCTTTGCCAACATTGCCCCGGAGGAGTTCATCGGAGACTACTGGCGCAACTTCCAGCGAGCGCTGAGAAACATCGCGGGGGTCCGGAGGAGTGAGGTCCAGTTGGTGAGCCTGCAGCCGTCAGAGCAGGGAGATCTGGAGGTCCTGCTGACACTGGAGAGATCTGGCAGCCCGTACCAATCTCAGGAGGTAAGAGCCGTGGGTTTGAATTAAAAGCAGTAATTGTCATGTATTAATATGTAGAAACAGTCTGTTTTACCAAATAATGCGTTCTTTGTATTTGTGTTGGCATGTAATGTGTTTTTGTATGTCTTCTTTTATTTACAGGGTATTTCTTAAAAATGTCCATACATTTTGTGTCCACTAATGATGAGCGTTGCTCTAATTCCAGCTCTGTTCTGTGTTCCTCAGGTCGTCTTCCGCAAGCTGAACTCTTCTGCAGCCGTAATCGAGGAGATGACGGGCGTCCGCATTGTGCGTGTGGTGCAGAAGCTTTGTGCTGGTCTGGATTGCCCGTTGCATTTCTGCGATGAGGTCATATCCCTGGACAAAACGGCCATGTCCACCTACAGCACGTCCCGCCTGAGCTTTGTCACCCCGCGACACCAGAGAACCGCGACCTGCCAGTGTGACGGTACACCCACACACTCTCACATACACTCAGACAAACGGGCACATTTCCACATGCGTGCTGTTCTCAGTGGAGTTTTTTTTGTATTTAGGTGGTACGTGTCCTGTGCTGAACAACCTGTGTGAGAACAACCCCTGTCCAGAGGGTATGGAGTGTGTAGCCGATCCCAGAGATTCTGTGTACAGCTGTGTGTGTCCCGAAGGCAAAAAGGGCAAATGCTCCGGTAAGAATCTCTACTTGTTAACTTAAAGATAATTCCACATACTCTGTCGTTGTGGATGCTGTTTGTGATGCATGTGTGTTACTCCATATCAGAAGGCCACTCGCTTACATTCAGTGGAAGCGGTTATGTAAAGTATCATCTGATGGAGAACGAGAACAAGGAGCTGATGAAGCTGTCACTGAGGCTCAGGACCTTCTCCAGCCATGCTACCGTCATGTACGCAAAAGGGACAGATTACAGCATCCTTGAGGTTTGTGCAAATCTACATGACCAGCTCTGGTACTATGTTTCCATTTCTTTTAAAAGGAATAGGTAATGTTGAGCATCTCGGGTGTAGCCCTATTCATCAGAACGAGAAGGGATTAGCACCCTGACCTTCTCCACTCAGAGAATATTCTAACCAGCTATGGTTATAAATGCCATGGTAAAACTCCTTTCACACGGGGGACTATGGGAATGTGGTGGCGAGCTGAAAACACACACAAAGCTATTTTAGTAGTGGGAGGGAAACAGACTACAGTTTTCCACACATTCCTTTTTGAGTCAGTCTAGTATAGCAGTCTGCAGGCCAGACATGGACTCTGCTTGGATAAGAGATGCTTTTTGATAATCAGACTTCCATATAAGGAGTTTGATATCTGCAGTTTGTGTATTTTTGAGGATGGAACACATTACAGTGTTTGATGCATAAAGCTGACATGTTATGGAACATGTACAGCCGGGTTTCATGGTGTGCCAACGAGTGAGCGCCCTGTTTATCTCTGAGGTGCTTTGTTTGAGTTTTTAACAAACAAAAGAGCAGGTGAGCGGAACATGTGAACTAAGCAGAATGTTTAGCATTTGTTTGTTGTAATTTGACATTTTCTGTTTCTGCCACAGATTGTAAACGGGCGTATGCAGTACAAGTTCGACTGCGGCAGTGGTCCCGGCCTGGTGTCGGTCCACAGCGCCCAGGTCAACGACGGCGAGTGGCACTCCGTGTTCCTGGAGGTGGACGGGAACTACGCCAAACTGGTTCTGGACCAGGTGCACGCTGCCTCCGGCACAGCCCCGGGCACCCTGCGTACCCTCAACCTGGACAACAGCATTTACTTCGGCGGCCACGTCCGCCAGCTAAGCTCGCCCCGCCTCGGCCGCAGCCTGCCCGTCACCAACGGGCTGCGCGGCTGCTTGGAGGCCCTCACGCTGAATGGCCAGGAGCTACCTCTCAACACCAGATCGCACTGGGCCCACGCCGTGCTGGAGGACATTGTGGACGTGGCACCGGGCTGTGCGCTCGCCCCTGCTGAGAGCTGCTCCAGCAACCCCTGTACCAACGGGGGGAGCTGCACCTCGCTGCCCAGCGGAGGTATACACAGCAGTAGTTCTTAGCTGGATGTTACATGCTGGCAGATAGTTCTGCGTTCTCTGCTTCAAACACATTTTAAAAATGATATTTGGTCAAATCAATTCACTAACGTCTGTTTAGCATTAAACACGTGCTGGAACCTCGGGTATTTTTACTGAAGGGATTTGTTTGTAAGACATCCAGAAGATGTGTTATACTCTGATTAAATAAATATTCCTGCTCTCTTCACTCGGCATCTGGGATACAGCAGGTGAACCCCATTTTTTTTTTTCTGTTCTTCGTACAGGCTACTTCTGCAAGTGCCCTGCCTCCTTCATGGGCACACACTGTGAGATCGCCATCAGTCCTTGTGCCTCCAACCCCTGCCTGTACGGGGGCTCCTGTGTTCCTCGTGCTGATGACTTCTACTGCCAGTGCAGAGGGCAGTACTCAGGACAGAGGTACATTGTTCCATCTGATATCAGTAGTACCAGCACCCAGGGGTCATGTTTCTAAAGCGGTGTATGGGATTTCTTTAACATTCAGAAGGAGTCAAGTCTGTGAGGTGTGCTAACCTGTAATGTGTCACATGTCCTAGCATATTACATAAAAGCAGAAGAATGTATGCTGCAGAAAAAGTCACAAATTTTCATATCGCCACTGACAGCCCATTGTGGCATACGAGCACATTAAAGGAATGTGAGGTTAATCGGTTATGTTTTTCTTGAATCATTGTGTAATGCCTTCAGGTGTCAGCTGGGGCCCTACTGCAGAGACAACCCCTGTAAAAATAGTGGGAAGTGCATCGACAGTCTGGACGGTCCAGTGTGTGAGTGTGAAGCAGGATTCCAGGGAGACCGGTACGTCTGTTCTGACTTTGCATTTATTGCCCTTCTACTAGACGAGTCTCATCCTTTGGTCAAAGTTATACAGACACTTTTGTCCTCCAGCACCTCACTGAATTCCAATATGTTGTCCAGGTGCCTGAGTGATGTTGATGAGTGCTTAAAGAACCCCTGTGCCAACGGAGCCCAGTGCCAAAACACCTACGGCTCCTTCAGGTGTAACTGCTCGGCCGGGTTCACCGGGCCCATGTGCGATCTTCACGCTGAGGTCCGAAACGAATTAGTCTCTACCCCCTGGAACATCGGCTTGGAAGAGGTGATCGGCATCGTGGTCTTTGTATCCAGCATCTTCATCCTAGTCCTCCTGTTCATCATAATCCGCAAGAAGGCCTGTCGCAGGAGGTCAAAGACCGACGACAGCGACAAGCACCCCGGGGGGTCCACCATGCCTCACTCCTTCCTCCAGAGACCTTACTTTGACTCCAAGCTCAACAAAAACATCTACTCAGACATCCCCCCCCAGGTGCCCGTGCGTCCCATCTCCTACACTCCCAGCATTCCGAGCGACTCACGGAACAACCTGGACAGAAACTCGTTCGAGGGCTCTGCCATTCCCGAGCATCCGGAGTTTTCCACCTTCAACCCAGACTCCGTTCACGGCCATCGCAAGACCGTGGCCGTGTGCAGCGTGGCGCCTAACCTCCCGCCCCCCCCACCCTCCAACTCAGTCTCCGACAGCGACTCCATCCAGAAGCCAAACTGGGACTATGACTATGACAGTAAGTTTTCTTTCAGTAAAAAAAATAAGCATATATTAGCTCAAGCAAATGACGGATTGCCTTTGATGTGGTGGCTTTTCTCCACACACACTGTAGGGCGCATTGTTCCAGCGTCAGGGAACTCAGATGGATTTTCAGTCAGTAAAACACAATGGTATCTTTTTCTTTGCAGGAGTGATGAAAGAATTTCTTCACACTGGGTCATTACAGTAGTTCTCTTCTGTCTTAATAGTCAGCACAAACACCCCACCTGTGTACTCTCATGTCAGTCACTGGATCGATTTATCCAACGGCCCCGGGCCAAAGCTGATTACACCGGACGATTTTATCTGTGAATAACAAAAGAACACAAGCCACTACGTGCTTGTTGTAAAATCAAAGGCAGCACCAGAGAGAAAGATGCTCGGAAATTCGTTGCAAGATTTTTGTAGTCCAGAATCTGGCTCGGCTGTTAGTCTTCAAATGAATGACTGGTTTTGTGCAGCCGGCTATGATTTGGATGCACAGTGCCGCTGAAAGCATCTGAGCGGGACGCGGCTGAAAGCTAGTGGACCTACTAAGAGACGTTTGTCTTCCAGCTAAAGTGGTGGACCTGGACCCATGTCTGACCAAGAAGCCTGTGGAGGACAGCGCCTGTCCCACAGGCTACAACACCAGAGGCAGCATGTCAGAGGTCCACTCCCTCAGCTCCTTCCAGTCCGAATCCTGTGATGACAATGGTACGGTGCCGTCTTCTCTTTCCTTCAGCCATTGTGAATTCAAACATTCTAGAAGTTTCTACATATTTGATGATGATTTTTGTCTTTGGTTTGGTCAGCTCGCAGGATTTTTCAGCAGTTGTCTTTCTCTTTTGGCGCCTTGTTGATTTAAATGCTAACACTTTGACTTTGCATGCTCAGAGTGGACAGCCCGATAGTGGCTGTGAGGTCACGTGTCTCTTCTCTTTCTTTTTGCTGCGGGGCTTCAGCTCCCATATGGATCAAAACTATCCACAGATCCAGAACAAGGTTTTAAATAGGGGGTCCAGCCTGTAAGTCCTCAACCATTGTTGGTACAGAAGGAAGCAATCTCAGTAGCCCGCACCGTGCAATTCTCCAGGGATTATTTATTCAAAAGAAGCAAACACCAATTCAGACTCATGTTTTATTTGTTCTTTATTTTCAAATCTTAAATCAGTCATCAGATAATTTACTTTTTCTCCCCTATTTTCATGCATGCTGTTTTCTGTTGTTTTCTTTCTTTCTTTTTTTTTGTTTAAGTACAGCCTCAAACAGATGTTTAAAGCAAACATCGAGGACCATTTCAGGAGGGTATAGACACCTTAAGTTCTCCCATTTCTTCATCACATCACTTTTTATTACCACTCATCATACCAAACCCTCCATCCAACCTTCAGAAGTCTGAATTTATCTGACACAGATTACATATGCAAACAGGCAGCATTTGTTCTGCAGCACACACAGAGTTCTCTTTGTGTATCTGGTTGGAAATGTTTTCACATCTCTGGGGAATTTCACTGGTTCTTCCATCTGTACTGTCAGTGGCACCGTCCAACTTCTCACTATGTTGTTATGTGTTATATTGCACAAGAAAAAGCAGACCTCCCCCCTTCAGCCATCCCTCATCCCCTCACAAAGCGCACACTGCTGTGTCCCCGCCTGATATCGTCCTGTCCCTGCCATCAAACCCACTCAGAGTGTCCATGTAAAAAAAAAGACTAGAAGATGTGCCTAGCAACAAGGACAATGAAATTTGTGGGAAGTGTGGCTTGTGTTGCTCTCACCCCCACCATATTCCTTATGTTGTTGTTTTTGTGTGTCTTGTTAAATGATTAAGACTTCGGTACTAATGCTAGGTTTCTGTCACCCACTCTCCCTTTCACAAGCCTCCATAGTGACAGTAATCCACCTTGTCAACTCTGTTATTGACACGGTGGGAGGAGAAGGTACTCTTCCAGCTACCTTTCGCCGATAGTCTTGTCCTTGGTGTTGGGATGTGAAGTGCTGGTTGTAATTCTGCCATTATCTTACACTGACAAAGCCAATGCAATTCTTAGCTCCTCATTTTTACGTTTAGCTGCTAATTGAAATGAAATGCAAATGGAAAGTGATACGGCATAGCCTGTAAGTGTTGCCGTCTAGTCTTAGCTCTGATTATTTCCCTCTGCTTTTGTCTGTTTAAGAAAATGGCAAAGCCGTTGTGCATTCATTTACCTGTCGTTCATTATGTGCCCTCCATTATCCTCATATCATTCAGGTTCTCAGCAGACGGTTAATTCCTTTTAGATTTTAATGTGCCTTTCTCTCTCTCTCTCTCTCCCTTTCTCCTCTTCATTGCCTCGTATTAAGAGTCATTTTTGGCTCATGATCTCAAGAACCCAAGAGGTGACTTTTACATCTTTGTTTGCCTGATGTTCACTGGTGTCCCCTGATCCCGTCCTAACGTTTAACCACTAATCCTGAAAGCTGAACGAATGAGAGCTGGAAGGTGCAGCCGCTGTGACTCGCTGCCGAGGCTTCCCAAAGTGCTGTGTCTGTCTCTGTGAGATTATCTCCCCCCCCAAACACCCCCTGCATGGTTTGGTGCTGACGTTATGTTGTATGATTGAAGGTATCGCTTAGTAACAAACTAGAAATGTTCTCATTTGTGTTTGTGTCCCTGTGTATCTGCGTTGACAAAATCGAATGTTGAAATGATTAGAGCTTAGAACTACTCAGCAAAGAATTCCATTTGATTGGAAACAGGATTGGATTTGAAGTACATGCCCATGTTTCTGGTTGTTGCAAGCTTCTATTCCCAATTTCACTTTTTTCAATGTAATGCCTTTTTAAAATTGACTTTTACTACCACAGTTCTGTGTGATTGTTTAGATTTAAAGCTACATTTACTTAAGGTTAAAACACATCATCAAAACGAATAACACAGTAAAAAACTTGGACCGTGGCTTTGGAAATGAGGTGTGCGGCGTGTGATGGAGCTGTGTACATGAGTGTAAACGGCCCAGGTTTGTGTGGGTGTGACTTGGACCCTTGTTGTTTTTGCATGGTGTGGGTTTTTTGTAACATTAACGTGGTGGCTTTTGTTGTCTGCTATTAACTGGATGCGCTGCGTTGCGTCTTTGAGGCGGCACAGTAACGAATGACTCTCTGCTTCGGTCCCATCCAACAGGATATCACTGGGACACATCTGATTGGATGCCAAGTGTTCAACTTCCTGAAATCCAGGAGTTTCCGCATTACGAGGTTGTGGAGTCACCTGCCCCTCCGTACAGTGACCCCAGTGCCATGGACACCGATTATTACCCCGGGGGGTTAGACATCGAGAGCGACTTCCCTCCGCCGCCAGAGGACTTCCTCGCCAACAACGACCTGCCGCCGCCCCCTCTGCCCGAGTACAGCGACCGCTGCGACACCCTGCGGCCCCCGGCCAGAGAGCTGGACCCCGCCGGTCCGGCCGCGGTCCGCCAGCGCCCGGCCCTGCCGCAGCTCTACAGCCTCAACCAGTACCTGCCGCACCACTCCTACCCCAGCGAGGGGGGCGGGGCCCAGGCCCAGGGCGCCGCCTCCCCCCCGCCCACCGCCACCCCGGCGTCCAGCATGGGCCCCGGCGGCTACAGAGGGGGCTACGCCTTAGGCTGCGGCCGGGACTTCGACTCCTCGGCGCTGGACAGCATGTCCATGTCTCTGTACACATCCACCGCCTCCTGCTCGGACATGTCGGCATGCTGCGAGGAGTCGGAGGCCATGATAAGCGACTACGAGAGCGGCGACGAGGGCCACTTTGAGCGGCTGGCCATCCCGGCGCTGGACTCCCAACAGCACACTGAAGTCTGACACTGGATCCAAACAAAAGTGCCTGAACCCACAGCTCCACCTTTCACCCGTGACACCACCAACACCAAACACACACACACACACACTACGTGGACACACAAAGGAACACGACACTCATACGGTACCTGCACAGGGGCTCAGACTGGCTGTGAATGCCAGAGAAAATAGTGAGCTATGGGAGTGATTCTGTAGCCCCTCTACACCCGCCTGGTTCTGCTCCACCCCTTTGGATTACTGGTACCATTGCTTTAAAGGGGATGTATTATGCTATTCTTTCTTTTTGTCTGACATAAATAATAACAATAACAATAATATTTCTCTGTTAGGTGTTCTTAATGAATTAGATTATAGCTTTAAAGAGTAAAGTCAACATCTACAAAGGCTGTGAGCTCAGGCTTCAGACAGATTTTCTACATAAGTGCCAAGCAGCTATCAGCTGTAAGGAATCTCCTTATATGGTCGTCTGCTCCAACACGTCCAGAGTCAGAGCAACTCTTAGCGTATCTTTGTCCGTGCTCGTGTAAAACTGTGCTGCAGCGTTTAAGTTTCAAATCTTTCACTCTGATTTCTGCAGAACAGCAGAAGTTTAATTACAAGCTGTGACTGAAAGGCTAAATCTACAATTATGCAACGCATTAAGCAAATACTGACTTCCAAAACGGAAAAGTTTTGCCATTATTTAGAGGGCCGTCGCATCACTCATCCACAGTGAATCATGTAAAGTTCCTAAGTGAAATGCATAGATCCTGAAACAAGCATAATATGTCCCCTTTAAGTAACATTCATCTCACAGAGGATGTGGATTTTCTGAGGGATCATCATTTCAGCGACAAAAAAAATAAATAAGTGTATAATGAAAAAAAGAAGAAATTAGTTATGACTATTTCTTTGTTTCTAAACAAAACAAGAAAAATGTTTTTATACAAGTCTTCATTTTCAATGTAAATTTAAATGTACAGTTTGATTTAAAGTTTACTAGGTTTTGTAGATATTCTATGCTTTTATTTTCAATAAAAAATGAGTTAAATGGTGTGACATCAGCCTTACTGTGCTTACATTCACTAAAAAAAAGAGCGTGGCTGTTCTGAACACAGTGTACTCGTAAAGTTTATCGTCTCTTGCTCATTTCAAAAAAGGGTCTTCAATGAACGACTGCATATTCTCGTGTTTTTTATTTGTTTGTACATTTTGACTTTGAAACCTCTTTATTTTTCCACCAAGATAATGGGACCCAATATATTTATAGTGCAGAGTTATCCATGGACACAGGACTTTTTCAGGTGTCTGTGTGTGTCTGAGCAATGCCATGGTCTCGTTAAGGTTTTTATTGAATACTGCCACAAGCTCACGCTTTCTTACTGGCAATAAATTATTCCTAAAAAACCCCATTCTCGTCTGTCTGCATTTTTTTTTCCGTGGTGAGAAAAAAAGCGTGGTGAATTTGATCGGCTGGTCCCTTAAACCTTCTCTTTCCATTCAGTGGAGATCCAGCTGTAATAATTTGGTTATCACTGTTGGGACTTTTAAATAAATCACTGGAATTTCACAGGGACACGTCTCTACTGAATAGAACAAAGAAATGCTCCTCTCCAGCCTGCAGACGTTTCACAAAATAAAGTTTTATGGATTAAAAAGCTGTTTGAAAAAGGCACGTTCACTACACATCAGGTTTTTTTAGTTGTGAGCTTAGAATTGTTATAATTATTGCATTTCATTCAAAGGAGTCAGAAAAAGTAGAGCAGCCAAACCTTTTGTCTGAGTTCTTCTTGCTTTGCGTGGCCTGATCGGATCTGTTCAGCCGGCCTTTCTCTCAGGGATCCTGACTCAGCCTGGCCTGTCCAGCAGGACTGCCGGTCAGTGTTGTTCCACGCGCTGCCCTGTGAGGAATGGAGGGAGAGTGACCTTTTGACCGTGAGTCAGGACAGCAGAGCCCCTCTGCGCTTAGCTCTGCGAAACTGACCACTGTCCAGCCCTAGATTTCCTCTGATTCACCTCCCTCTGACAAATCACACCCTCACACCGCTGACGGACAGCTGTGGGGGCCACGCTTCAGAATCTCAAGCAACTTCACCCAAGAATCACCATCCTGAAGTAATGTTAAAATGAAGAGAACATCAATTATAGAGCTCCAGTCCTGACAGCTTATTATGGGGAAAAGAAAAAAAACGCTTTCAGCTAAGAGAATTCCGAGAAATCAAATTAAAATGTGGCTCTCGGGAGCAAATGTCTTTTGCTTTTAATACATTCATTTATTTGGAATAAGAAAGTATCTTGATGGAGTGGGATCATATAAAACCAGCAAATGTACTTTCAAAACTCAGCTACTCTTACACAGATTTAACCATCCACACTTTGCGATCAGTAAGGTAATTATACAGTCATCCTTCTCAGCTGGAGCTTTAGCACACAGATGACCAGTGGGACTGGACAACACCTCGGCCTCATGTCTGGAAACAGCACAGATTCCCATTTGTGCACATGACCTAAAAATCCCCCGGTTTACTGGCCAGTACCTAAATCTGAGTAAATCCCACTCTGAGTGGAGGCTGGGGTCCGTTCCGGTTGGCCTCGGTGTGAGAATAGACGGCCCTTTCTCCGCACTGGTGGCATAATATCAGACATTTTCACGGGCACTGACAGAAACCTCCTCGGGTTGCTACTTCTAACAGAGGCAGAGAGGTTCACCTGGTGCTGGCCGGTGAGTGAACCGGTCTGCAGTCCTGCTCCCCTTAATGTCACGCTTGGTGGATCCAATTAATCTGGAAACGGCACCAGGTGTTTTTCCTTTTCATTGAATAAATTAGGAGAATTAATGCATTATTCATATTATGGAGTCGGGGAAGCGGTTCTTCTGGGAAATGAGGCGTTGGGCTTCGGGGCCCGTGGTTATTAGCGGTCTCTGAGGTCTGGGGGGGCTGTAGTTCTACCAGATGACCACCAGATGGCAGCATACACCAGCTTTAGAGGCTTTCTGAAGACCACGGAGGAGCCAGATGAAGGAGATCATCAGAGGGTCTCACACTGCACTTCCTTGCAGCTATATGAGGGAACACAAATTTGCCAAGTCGTCTGCTGGTGGGAGAACTTGAACAGATTTGTCTGTGACCCCCCCCCTCTTGCAGCCTGTTTGATATACTCTCCTCTGCCCTCGGAGGATGAGTCTAAGCTTTGAAAGTCTGTCTTTCAAGTGTACAGATGGACCCATTTCTTTAAGAAATAAGATTATATTGTTGAGTTCGAAGAGTTCTCGGGCCACGCACGCATTCTGACCACCACCCAGATGAGGTTAAACTGACCGGTGCCGGGGCCCTCCGGCCCTCCGTTGACCCACAGTCACAGAAAATAGGATTCAGATCAATCGCTCTTTGGAAGAATGGCTTTAAAATTCAGCTGCGGCAATACATGGAAAGAGACAAAAAGAGAGCGACTTCAAACGACAAAAATAAATAAATATCCATGTGTGGAACAAGAAGCGGGTTTGTTATTTAAATATGCAGACAGTGGACCCAGCGCCTAAGGTGGGGGAAGAAAAGTAGATTACAAAAAAAAAGGAAAAAAGCCTTTTTTGGGCCTGGAAATCTGCCCAGTCATTCATGAGAAATGATGTTGAATCCCCCCCCGAAATGTCAGATCTGTCCAAAAAGACGCAGGGCCGTTATTAACGCTGACACAGAGATTTGGGATCCTTCAGCCAGACAGGAGGGTGAAACAGCAGCTAATGTGTCCGCTAATCCCGGCTGCCAGCCCCGAAAGCCCTCCGTGCAGCTCTGACTGAAGGAGCTTTAAGGCCCAATTAAATTATTAAAAAGGGACTTAAAAAAGGGCTTTGAAAGGGAACCGGTTTGGCTCAGTGCTGTCAAAGTTTTTAAACTCCTGTTTTCCGATTGCACAACGCACTGACCACACACAACACCCTAAAAGGGAACGGCCAAACGCCAACACGGTCAATTGGTGGGTTAAATTTCCAGACAAAGTCAGACACCTGCTCGGGATTCCTAAAGCGGAACTGTTGCCTTCACCCTTAGTTTTGTGGTTGATCGTTTGAGTAGGTTTGAGGTTGTTTTTTTGTTTTTTTCCCCCTTTTTTTGGTATTTGGATCTGTTAACAGATTTCTTTCCCCCTCACTCACTGAATGAGTTGTGCTGCCGTTCTGCCTGAAGAGGGCACTGCCACTCAAGTAATGTCAGTCCACCGTGGGCCCCGGACTATTGTCATTAACTGACTTAACAATAATGAAGTTTGAATGAAGAATGAATTTCTATTATCATCGTCATTAAGCCAGTAAAGCCCCAAGCTGTAGAGGCATCAATGGTTCAAGGAATTAACGGTTATCTACCTGGAATAGATATCTAATGATCAGATCTGCCCAATTTTACCTTCAGGCACTTTGTTACTGGCAAAAATCCACAATTTCGTTATATAATTCACCTAAAAATATCAAAGAATATAGAACAAAATCGAATGTTTTTTTATATTTTTGTCCAACAAGGTGATTTCCATGTATTATTAGCAACATATGTGCATGACATGCTAAGAAACGTGAGCGTTGTCTTCAACAAATTGGAAAAAAACAAATCCAACAAAAAAAACCTGACACAGGTCTGGTGAGATTCACCAGACTCTTCAGCTGATCCATCAACTGCTAACCGAAGCCTCACCATTAACGGTCTTCATGAAAGAGATGCTGTCAAAACACCAAACCTAATGAAGTCAAGCAGGGAGGAATGGCTGAAAGTGCCCCGGCTGATACCGGGGGGGCGAGGCCTCCGGAGAGCTCAGATCACTCAATATCATCCAAAGAAGAGCTTTGAGATGCCCAATAAGAAGCTGAAAGAAACCATTCTGGTGGGCCACTTCGATGAATGAGGGGGGGAATATCTCTAGAGGGTAGAGTTTAGTATGTGTTAAGGGAGAAGTTCCACCTTCCAACATAAATTGGAACTGGTTTTTGATTTGTGTGATCTATCATCATCCATGTTCCCAAACACTTACTCCCTGTT